AGAAACGCGCTTTCGGGGACTGGAATGGCTTGCGGAGGAGGGCTTCTGGGATCCTGAGGCTGAATTAACGACAGCAGCTTGGTGTGGTGTGCAATGTCAGGCAGGGAAAACCGAACATAGGCCACTGGCGACCGTTAGGTAAGGATGACCAATGCCAACCCCTGCTCCGACCAGAATGATTGACGCTTTAGAGAGAAGAGCGTAGATGCAGTATGGAATACGGGGAGGAAGACGGCGGTGGTCTGGGCTGGGTTGGTGAGGGCGTCGGGAGAGCGTCCTCCTTCGTGGGGTTTAGGCGGTTGAAGCCACCCTGCGCTTGCCGCGCGGATAACGCTCGTTGGATTATTTAATTGGGCACGACTTGAGCCTCGCCTTAGCCCAGCTGCGTATGCATTGCTGCCATTACCACCGCACCGGGCCCTTATCGCGGGAGATCTGTGAGGCGTTTCGTCTGTAAAGCGCATCTGCGACTGCAGGGCCAATAATCCGGGCCATGAATCGCTACAGGAATGCTCCCGGGCTGCGCGGGCCTCCGAAGGCTACCGCGAGCACCCTTTGCCAAAAATGCTTAAAGAGAGATAAGTGCCCTCGAGCCAGGCGCATTAAGCTCTGCTATACTAACTCCTATGCACGGCACTACAGCTATGAATGCACCGTCTCTGCGCAGGACAGGCCTTACGTGTCTCGGCCGTCCCGCACCCAGCAATTGCAAAATCCAGACCTTGTCCCGAAGCTTACAAGCGAAGTTCCAAATGACTTGTTGCGGACGTATGTAGATATTCTTCCCTCGTTCGCCTGCGAGCTCTGTCTGACCCGGTTTTGTTACCAGCAAGGGCGTGGCAGACGAAGTGCTTGCAAAACAGGAGCGAGAGCGCGGCCGCAAGAGGGACCTAGATGACGATGACGACGTTCGAGATGGCCACGAGCAGTCGCGAAAACGCGCACGGTCAATATCCTCCTGTTCTTCAGATTCTGTATCGACAATATCAACGAATCTCTCGCGTTCAGAATCTCCAGAGTCTCCCCCCAGATACGACACAGAGAATGGCAGAGAACGGTACGGGCGAGAACGACCATCATTATCTCCAAGCATATCAAGACAGCGAAAGAGAAGATACAGCGAAAGCTCGTCGGAGTATTCTTATTCTTCTGACTCATCTGTGGAGCGAAGGCCCTCCCGAACTAGGGAGCGAGAATTGGAGAGAAACACTCGGAGGAAACGGCGAGAGTCCAGCCCCGATGAAAGGGGTCGACGACGTGATTCGTCTATACGTGGCAGCTGGAGGGACAGAACTCGAAGTCAAAGCAGGGAGAGAAGCCGTATCGTGAGAGGGCGACGGTCAATGACACCCGAGACATTACGAGAATCAACACCGGGGAGGGATCGATCCGGCCGTCATCTCGAGCCCCAGCGTGGGGAGCAATCAGGGCCAGGGCGAGCACGCCCCTCTGCGCCCCCGCCACGAGAACGAAGCTTGAGTCCTTTTAGCAAACGTGTGGCTCTCACACAGGCCATGAGCATGGGGAGGTAGAATTAACTGGCAGATTCAGTGGGGAGATCTTGGCGTTACTGTTTATACATGCTGGATGACAGGGTCATATCCATTGGATATTCTAATACAAATCAATTCCACATGAACACATATAGAAAGAGCCTCACTACTAATTAATATTACAATGTTCCCAACGCCTCTTTGCTTTTTCTCCCCAACTTATTCCCTAGAATCCTGATCCGGAACGCCGAAACAAAAGAAACCCACAATGCAAAGAATGTTTCGTCGGAAATGCAGGGTATCAAAATCCAATCCAATCATATCATATCTTCCTCTTCTCTTTCCCTTCGTTCTTCCTCTTCGTCTTCCCGTTCGCGCACATGGATACCCTCCACCAGTGTCTCGCCTTCAATTCCAACCTCCTCCCCGTGCTCTTCGCCGCCCTTGGAGGATGCCTTCTCTCGAGCGGCACGCTGCGCGTTCTCGATGCGCTGTCGTACCAGCCGCGCAATCGCGTTCTCCGTCCTTACATTCAGGATTTTCATCTTCTCATCCAGGTGTCGTTTGAGATCCCAGTTCGGCTTTTTAGGTTGTAGTTTGAATAGATCGATGGGCTGGTCAGCCTCTGCATCCTTTTTGGCCTGCTCTGCAGTGGCCTTCGCGATTTCAGATGCCTTTTGCTCTAGTGTGACCTGGCCCTCCGTTGGAGCTTTCTCGAATCCCAGCTTCGGCCCGCGTGTTTCGGGGTCGTAATTTCGGCCTGAAAGGTAGGTGGTTGTAACGTCTGGCGCTGGGTCAGCCGGCTCCGGTTTGGTTGCCACGGCTTCCCCTAATGGTTCTGGCTCAGGCTGTTTCCTCTTGAGAGCAGCGAGCTTGGCAAGTCTCGCTTTGCGCTCTGTAGCAGCGGCTTCTAGAGAGGCATGATTTGACGACATGATGGCAGGTAGAAGGTGCGGGGCCTTGGAATGAGAGGTTGGCGCTCCGCTTAAAATGCCGATTCGATTAAGGAAATCAGAGAGGTCGAGGAATAAAAAAATGGAAAACAAACTTGATCCCTGGAGGAGGTGAAATGGAAACCCTTTTTTCAGGGAAAAGTTTGCGAGTTTGGGGACTTTGTCGGCCTCGCAGCAAGTTTGGCGATCGCCGCCCGAGATGATATTATCACGCTTCAGCCACATTTCCCTCCAGCCACAACCTTAAATCCGCTTCATGTCCGCAACTCCATCTGCAAATATTGACTCTTAACGGCTTTCTCTTCTGATCGTCACCGGAATTTTGAACCGCTTTGCTTTGCCTTTTTCACTCTTTCCCATGCGCTGGTCTCGCGAATTCTGAATGTCAACGTGTCAAAACCGCGTCGTGTGGTTCACAGCTCGGCTGCCCTCCTCCGCTCTTCGTTCCAGGATCTGTCCCGGTCAATGGCATCGAGACGCTGCAATATGGGGTGCCCGGCGGAGCAATTATAGCACATCCGTCTCGCCGGCAGCAAGTCCAGCCGGGGCTGGGGACCGCGATGGCAATTCCGGAGCAAGGACTGCCTTTTCGCATGCCTTGTACCGCGAGCGAACCGATCGAGGTAACTCGAGGAGTACTGTCCGGAGCAGCTACTCGAGGTATTCGGACACTGATGAGCTGAGGGATAACCCGGGGAAATCGCCCTCCGACTTGACCACGCCAACTGCAGTTCCTGCCGCTACTAATAGCACCGAAACATCACCACCCTCATACCCGAGGATTAGGAGGGTAATATCAGGGCGTCGCTTCCCAAGCCCAAGACGAAGGGTTAGGGTTATATACCAATATCGTGACCGTGGGAAGAGGCGTTTCGTTCCCCGACGTATCTCGGCAGCAATTCACCGCGCGCAGAATTCTCTGAAATGGCAAGGGAGAGTCATAAGCCCCGAATCATTCCGTCGTGATATTGAGATTAGGCTCGCCTCTCTGTTTCCTTACGTATCGGTCCCTGAAAATTGGAGGATTGCGTACCGCAGCTTATATTCAGCAAAAGTCCATAAAACGGAATGGCGTGTACCGGAATCAATGGAATTAGACCGTTTGGGAAATCAGCTCGTTGATATGCTCGAAAATGAGGGCAGGGAGAGTTTTCAACGTGCCTGGGAATCACTGCCTACGCGCACAAAGAAGTTTCAGTGGCCCCGTTTGGCTTTGTGGTGGCTACACAATTCGCCCAATTTTGCCTTGGAATTTTTGCTTGCCACAAACAACCGACCCTACCCACCCTTCGCCATGGTGGTAGATTGTATGATTTACATTAATGTATTCTGCAATACCGACGAGAACGTGTACCGGTCTGTTATCTCCACCTGCATGGATCCTGAGAGATGGCCCACAGTGGGCATATCACAACGGGGAGTGCGCCTCTATCTCAATTTATCGAGTTTGGACAAGGTTTCTCGAGCGTTTGCGTTGATGCGGAAAAGGGACATCCAGATATCCGCTCCAACCGCTCTTTGTTTCATGAAATGTTTCACGAAGGGCCGGGACATCAACAGGGCAATAGATGCCCTGCGTCTGATTCCATTACTCAATGAGCCAGGATTCCCGTTAGACTCGGAGGAAGTGATGCGGCACTGTTGCAAACTCCTCACGCTGGATACCGTGCAAGAGAAGGATGGTGTACGCAACTTCCAGATTCTCCCGAAGCTCCTTGAATTGGGTGTGCGACCGAATCGGGACATGATGAATGTCGTTTTGTCAAACGCCTTCAAATCCGGGGATCCGCAATTGGGCCACGACATGTTGAAATACATGAAGCAAAACAACATGAAACTCGATTCCTACACTTATTTAACATTGCTCTCGGATGCAGTAGCTCGTGGCGATCGTGCGCACATCGAGGAGGTGATGCGGGAGATCGAATCCAGTGAGGAATTGAAAAAGAACCCGTACATCATAAGCAAGATATTCCATGCGCATTTCACCTTTACAGTCAAGCAAGTCGATTCATTTGCAGACCCTGCTGGAGTCTTCTTGTCGATGCTGGACCTTTATAGCCGATTTTATGATCTCAGCCCTCTCAAGGACCTCCAACTCATCCCGCCCACCTTTGCCCCCATTGAGCGGGGAGTGGATGCAGAACCGTCCCCTGTCGCTCTATATATTATGCTGGCAACGTACCTGAGATCCAAAAAGAACACTGACCGGGCATACCGCCTCTACCGGCGATTCCGCCAACTCGTCATGGAGGGGCACAAGACGATTGCGCCTCTAGCCGAATTCGTGCAGTTCCCCAATGAATTCATTGTCGCCTTCCGCGAGGATCCGCATGCACTGCGGTATTGCGTGGAAGTTGTGGAAGAAATGATTCGTCCTGACCCTGGTGTGGTCACCGTCGAAGGGCGCAAGGTAACTCCAGCGAAGCCCAGTGTGTGGACGTGGAACATCCTTTTGAGTGCATTCACCTTTCATCGGCAGCAGCAAGCCGTGGAGAAGGTGAAGGAAATGATGAGGAAGCACGGAGTCGAATATGACCAGACGACATGGAATACGATCATCAACGGCTACGCAAATGCTCAAGATGTGCTCGCGACGGTAGCGGCGATAAAGGACATGGAGTCACATGGTTATAAGATCGATTCCTACACTATAAGACCGTTACGCTTCCTCAAAGATCCTGAACGCCTCCAAGCGGCTATAGATGAGTTGGACCGGAGGACAGCCGAGCAGGATCGATGGGAGCAAGAAGTTGAAGAGAAAGAGCGGGAGGAGCTTCTCGAGCAAGGCCTACGACGCCTGGCGGCGGCCAGAAGACAAGGGAAATCGTAAGATACCCTATTTGCATTAATAGCATTAAAATGTACAGTAGATATTGGGTTTATGATGCATTTCACGGAGTCACATAGAGCTTTTTCCACTATGATTATAAGATGATAAATTGATGATGCTGAACTGTACACGTGTTTCCCCGTACTTCGCTGAGATCTTGGATCGGTTGCCATGGATTGTATTATTCGTGACTATTCATAATCATACACCTCGAATGAACGCCAAACCCGACATTCCTGCATGTACAGTACATACATAAACAAACAAGAGACTGATTTAATCACCGAAGAAGATCGAGATCTGTCAAGGGTGGCAAGTCACATTAGTTGCCAGGCTCCATGAGACAGTGATGCGACAATGAGACAGCTTACCGCCATAAGGATACAACATATGCTAATGTAGGGACTGAGCCGTTCGCCTATCCTCGCGCATTTCCAGAATATCCCAAAGAAGCTATCCGTGCCACAACAATCAGCGTCAGCTTCCTCGCCAGACAACAGCCATGTAGCTCCCATAGCGCTACAGTTTCTGTATCAAACGTACCCATGTTGGTTCCGGTCCATAATCCCCGGCATGATCGAGTGCGCGTAGGCGCTAGTGCAGATGATGAGGAGGAAGACGAGGAGGAGGGACTGGAAGTTGAAGAGCGCAGACTAAAAAACAACACAAGCAAAGGACGTGTCAGTGACCAGGCTTCTGAAACTGTGTTGTTGCTTTGTCTGCCACGCGCTCTCGCATCTTCACTGTGGAAGGCACGACGACTCATGCACCGTCACTGGCACCACCATCACCATCACCTCACTTACCATCTTGAAAGCTTCTCTCTTCCCACTTTGACAGAACTGCAGCCAGCAGTCGCAAACTTGGAGAATCCACTGAACCAGCGAATCTGAGTGAGCTCTGTGTCCCCGATCGAGGTCAGGATGGCTGCGAACACATGACTGACGCTTCCGCCTTCCATAAGCGCGCGCTAAGGCAGCTCGACATGCAAAACCCGACCCACAGCGGCGGCGGCACCCCCGGCCGCAACGTCCTCCTTCGACCTCAGGTCGATCCTTCAAGTTCCTCTGCATCTGCGCCTCACGCTCTTTGGCTCCCTGGGTTTGGCCATGGTGCCGAATACTCTTCCCCGTTCAGACTACCGACCACTGCTGCGCCAAGTTCTGCGTTAATCCAAGGGGGGCAGCCTGTTCGTCCGGCCGAACCGTGGGCACCATCCGAACCGCCTGAAAGCTCGACGGTCACTGCGAGTGCCGTCACTCAAAAATCAGACTGGAGGACCCGACGGAAAGAGGAGAGAAAGAAGACCGGCATGGCTGAACCAAGAGCCCGTGCCGCAAGGCACAAGGGCAAATGAACTTTGCCCCTGAATGTATGTTACTCGTTCAACATTGAATACACATGTTTACATCGGAGCCAGTCAGCTGACAATGGACAGTGCGCCTCTTGCTCCTTGCCTACGGTGATCCCAGTCCTCATCACTCATTCCCGCAAGAGCCGCTTCCGGAGACGGTGCGTGTCCTTGATGAGATCGTGACCGATTTTGTTCTGGAAATGTGCCACGCAGCCGCTGCGTATGCAAGCTATGCCCGCCGTCAGAAGATCAAAGTCGATGACTTTCGATTCGCTCTGCGTCGTGACCCTGGCAAACTTGGCCGTGTTCAGGAGCTGCTTCGCATGGAACGCGAGCTGAAGGAGGCCAGAAAGGCGTTTGACCAGAATGACGATCAAGTGGGGACACTGAAGGAGACCGGGAAAAGGGGGCTGGAGGAAGCTGGTGAGAGTATGGATGAAACCACCACCACTGGTGCGGGCAAGAAAAGCAAGAGCAAAGGAAAGAAAAGTGCTAGGAGAGGGTCTGACGCGACGGAGGAGACAGTCTCCAAGAAGAGAAAAGTTGCAGGCTGAATGATCAGCCAATATAACTTATCTGAGCAAGCAGGGTCTTTTTTTTTTCTCATGTTTGCTTTCATCGGCCGGGGGTTATGTCAAACACATGACTGTATATTGTGCATTTCATTGGCGTTCGGTGGGTCAGAAGGGTACTGCATATTCTTATCCGATTGCTTTGAGGGCCTATGGAGTACTTTGCTTAGCTATTCGTGAGTTAAGATCCTAAATTGAACGTGTTGATCACACCTATACCAACATACTTGTGCTATTGATGGCGATGGGGTTTATATGCTAAACAACTACCAGCTACATTATTGAGCTGTTAAATTATTTGCTATAGCAGATAGTGATATTAAGATGGCCAATATCACTCTCCAATAATCACTAACCTAATAGACCGAGTACTGACGCTGTCTCAACCCTAACACACCAGGAACCTACCTTACCGGTATACATAGATACAAGGAGGAAATCCATACGAATCCTGTTCGAAATCCATTCAGCTAAGAACGCCTTTTGACTGGAGTCGAATACTAGGTTGTATTGTTAAGATTGACATAGATTTGGAAGGTCTGCGTTTTGGTTGCAGAGTTAAAAAGTGGGCCGTACATTGTAGCAGCCCCAGGTCGATCTAATTTACATATCATATCTACGATTGTATGTGAATATCGCAATCAGCCATCTTGGTTGAAAATTGGTGGTGTCTCGTGGTAAGAAGTTCATCTTAATGTTATAGAACGCGCAGACCACTTGCATTATCCGGCTATGTCTCTCCATGCTGTCTCCGGATTGTACCTAGTTACCTATCTGGGTAGGTAGTTAATCTGCCGTAGTCGCCGGTTGGACAAGGGCGTAACTAAGCTATTCCTACTGTTTTTTTAGCGGTTTGGTTCAAGCGGGAAATAAAAACTCCGTCAATCGGATCACGATCACGACTCCAGCAGAGAACCCTAGCTAAAGCACTTAGCTTCCTTCCCCACTGTCCCTCCACATGGTAGTCCGTACAAGGACAAGCAGATCCCCGGTTTACAAGAGCACTGTGCCAATCGTTATTCGTGTCGACTATCCATCCTCCCCGGCGGAGAAATGCCGGAAAGGTATCGGGACTGCATCCCATTCTACTTCTGGAAGGCCGTTCCTAGAACCAGTCTTCGCAATTGACAAATGTCGATCTATATATATCTGCAGCAGGACCTCGAGATGATAGCTACCACGCCAATTTCTCCCCTATCCCGGTCCCTTCCGTGCCCAGGACATGGCGCTGTTTCTGACCTGGCTCCTCCTCTTTCTCTCCGTTCCGCAAGTCTTTGCCCACATCGAGCGCCGGGCAGAGTCGCAATGGCCACTGCACGATGACGGTCTGAACAAGGTCGTCCAGTGGGACCATTACAGTTTTCAACTGAACGGCGAGAGGATATTCCTCTTCTCTGGCGAATTCCACTACTGGCGCATTCCCGTACCTGAACTATGGATCGATATCCTCCAGAAGATCAAAGCTGCAGGCTTCACCGCGTTCACTTCTTACTTGAATTGGGCGTACCACGCGCCAAACAACGAGACCCTGGACTTTTCAACGGGCGCTCATGATTTCACGCCCCTCTTCAAGATTGCGAAGGACCTGGGCCTCTACGTGTTCGTCCGTCCGGGTCCGTATATAAATGCCGAAACAAATGCCGGTGGCTTTCCTCTCTGGCTGACTACAGGTGCCTACGGGACTCTGCGAAACAATGACACCCGGTACACGGCAGCGTGGACGCCGTATTTCTCCAATGTCTCCCAGATCACGAGCCAGTACCAGATCACAAAGGGCCAGAATGTGATTGCGTACCAGATCGAGAATGAATACGGAGAGCAGTGGATTGGAGACCCGTCGAAGAGGGATCCTAATGAGACTGCGATCCATTATATGGAACTCCTCGAGGCCAATGCCCGTGCTAACGGCATTGACGTCCCTCTGACTGCCAATGAGCCGAACATGGGTTCCATTTCCTGGGGAAAGGATTGGTCAAACGCCGGTGGGAATGTTGATATTACGGGTCTTGACTCTTACCCTTCGGTTCGTTTTCAGCATTTCTATGAATTAGCAGAAAACGGCTGTTGCTAATCCTGATAGTGCTGGACCTGCGACTTGAGCCAATGCACCAGCGTCAATGGTGAATATATCCCCTTCCAAGTGGTCGATTACTACGATTACTTCCTGGAGACCCAGCCGACGATGCCATCCTTCATGCCCGAATTCCAGGGAGGATCGTACAATCCGTGGGGTGGACCTGAGGGTGGATGTCCCGACAACACCGGACCAGATTTCGCGAATGTGTTCTATCGATGGAATATTGGTCAGCGCGTCACAGCCATGAGCCTGTACATGCTTTACGGAGGCACCAACTGGGGCTCCATTGCGACTCCAGTGACGGCTACGAGTTACGATTACTCATCCCCGATCTCAGAAGACCGCTCGATCGGTGCGAAATTCTACGAGACCAAGCTGCTCGCCCTCTTCACTCGGTCTGCGCCAGACCTGACCGTAACGGACTTGATTGGTAACGGGACCCAGTACACCACGAATGCTGCGGTAAAGGCATACGAGATCCGAAACCCTAACACCAACGCCGGGTTCTACGTGACCATTCATACTAACTCGTCGCTCTCGACGACTGAGACTTTTCAGTTACATGTAAACACTTCAGCGGGGTCCTTGACTGTCCCAAGACACGGTGGGGCCATCAAGCTGGATGGACACCAGTCGAAGATCCTTGTGACAGACTTTGCGTTTGGCAACGAAACTCTCTTATACTCGACTGCTGAGGTCCTGACATACGCGGTTCTTGACGGTGTTCCCACGCTTGCTCTCTGGGTGCCAACTGGTGAATCGGGCGAGTTCTCTGTGAAAGGGGCAAAGTCTGGATCCGTGAAGCGCTGCCAGGGCTGTTCCGGTGTCGGCTTCTATCCGGAGAATGGCGGCGTCACTGTGACTTTTACGCAAGCTGAGGGTATGAGTGTTGTCGAACTGGACAGTGGATCACGGATCTTGCTGCTAGATAGGACGTTTGCCTATCTGTTCTGGGCACCCTCGCTGAGCAACAATCCGTCTGCTCCGGAGAACGAAAGCGGTAAGTTTTTATGCCAGTGCATTTGACTACAGGTGAGCTTTGCTGAGATCAAACAGTCCTGGTTCAAGGTCCTTACCTCGTTCGCACGGCTGCCATTTCTGGGTCGACAATCTCCTTGACTGGAGATTCTACCAATGCGTCGACGACGCTGGAGGTATTTGCGCCGCAGAACGTCGATACAGTCGCATGGAACGGCAAGAAACTCAAGACATCGAAAACCGCCTATGGAAGTCTCCAAGGCTCGCTTTCTGGACCTCCTTCGGTGAAGCTGCCTCCACTGAATGGCTGGAAATGGAACGACAGCCTTCCAGAAAGATTCCCAGGCTACGATGATTCTGGCGCTGCATGGATTGGCAAGTGATATCGCTTCTATAATGCCCGGTTCGGACTGCTGCTGACTGCCTCCAGATGCCAACCACATGACGACTCCGAACCCTAGTCCTCCAGCAACGCTTCCTGTTCTGTACGCGGATGAGTATGGTAAGAATCACCGACAGCAGGCCCAATTATGACAGTAACTGATTTTGTTGATAACAGGATTCCACAACGGCGTCCGCCTTTGGCGTGGTTACTTCAATGGAACCGCGACAGGCGTCTTCTTAAACGTTCAAGGAGGATATGCCTTGTAAGCAAAACACCAGACCCATTCGACGCCAATCATTGATTTTGATCTTTTTTTTTCTAACATCCCCAGTGGCTGGTCTGCCTGGCTCAATGGGCAATTCCTAGGCTCGTATCTTGGTGACGCCTCTCAGGAACAGGGCAATCTCACCCTGTCGTTCAAGAACGTCACCGTCAACGACTCCTCGCCGAACGTCCTCCTCGTCGTGCATGACGATACCGGCCATGACGAAACCACCGGTGCCCTGAACCCGCGCGGTATCCTCCAAGCCAGTCTGCTGTCCCCCGACAACACGACGCAATTCAGCCACTGGCGTGTGGCCGGCACTGCGGGCGGCGAGTCCAACCTGGACCCCGTCCGGGGCGCCTACAACGAAGACGGGCTGTACGCCGAACGCGTGGGGTGGCATCTCCCGGGTTTCGACGACCGCGCCTGGGCGAGTTCATCGGCCGGCAGCAGCAGCCTCAGCTTCTCCGGCGCAGGGATCAGATTCTACCGGACGGTGGTGCCGCTGAACATCCCCGCGGGCGTGGACGTGTCCATCTCCTTCGTCCTCTCCGCTGCCGGGTCAAGTCCGTCAGCGAAGGCATTCCGCGCGCAGCTGTTCGTCAACGGGTACCAGTACGGCCGGTTCAACCCGTACATCGGCAACCAGATCGTGTTCCCCGTGCCGCCGGGCGTGCTGAACTATAGGGGCGACAACACCATCGGCCTCGCGGTGTGGGCGCAGACCGAGGCCGGGGCCAGCATCAGCGTCGACTGGAAGATCAACTACGTTGCGGAGAGTTCGCTGGACGTGACGTTTGATGGCAGTGCGCTGCGGCCGGGTTGGTCGGCTGAGAGGTTGAAGTATGCGTGAAGACATTCGCACATGTATATATAGTTTACGTGCAAGGAAAGGAAAGAAGCAGTGTAGACTAAAAGAAAAATATAAATGTTGCGCAGTGGTATGGTAAATATAGTACACTACAGATCTCCGATTGTAGCAGTAAATGAGCATAAACGAGCATGAGTGTCATTGACCATCATCACTATCACTATCACTATCATATGCACTATGCACTATGACTATGACTCCGATACGCCGTGCTCTTTTCTTTTCATTCTTTCGTTCTTTTTTCGCTTGATTTTTTTTCTCTTTCCGTTGGAAAGATATGCCAATGTTCTCAACTCAACTGGCCAATGGCCAAGAGTCAAGAGTCAAGAAGATAAGAAGTCTTAAGAGGTGGTGCAGACAGAGCGAGAAGACGAGACGAGACGAGGTAAGGTCGACCGGTCGTGTGGATGGACACGGAGAAGGACAATCACCACAAAAGAAAATATTTCGAAAGAAAAAGAAAAAAAATACAAATAAACAGATATCATACGTCTAGCTGCTTCACCTACGCGCGAACTTCTTCTGCACTTCGTTCTTGGTTTCGCTGTTGCTGGCCGCTCCGGCCGCCTTTGCCGCTTCTCTGACCTCGCTGGCCCGACTCTCCGGATTCAGCACCGCCCAGTGTTAATTGCGCGGTCGCCAACCGGTTGGACAGTTCCATCTGCGTGCGGATCGTGTTTGCGAGGTACGAAACGACCAGGACATCCTGTATGTGGTTGTTGCTGCAGGTCAAGTCAGCAGGGAGAGTTTTCAAAACAAAAATAAAATAAAATAAAATAAACTGGGCTACATACAAATCACGCTCGATATCAGCAGGCTCGACCTTGGGAGCCAATTGAAGGGCGTTCAGGAGGAACTGGCCCAGTGCCGTAGAGGCCGGCGCTTCCTCGTCGATGACCGCCTCGACGTATTTCGAGACCCGGTCGATCATGCCCAGTACCTCTTCAATAGCACGCTCCAACGCCTCGATGTCGGTGAAGATGCTGGCAGTTCGGTCCTCGGAATCCCGGGCGTTGGCAATCGCCTCCAGACCGCTCTTCTCCGCCTCGCTGTACCGAATCTCATGAGGAACCGGGATAAACGCTGCGCTGTCGGCGGCCCTTTCTGCGGTGACGCCCACCGGGGCCGAGATGTATGCGCGAACCTCGACGTCCTTCCCCGGCTCCGTAGACACCGTAAGATGCACCGCCGGGTGCGGCCACGTCCCGTCGCCCTGGCCGCTGTAGAAGTTCTGGATCAACGCGGAGAAAGTGTTGAGTTCTGACGAGGTGGCGTACCACCCGACGAGTACCTCCTTCGGATTCGCCTTCAGGTGCAGCGCCAGCATTTGCTTCTGGTATTCCATGTCCACTTCGACCTGGTCCGTCGTCTCCGTGTGTCCTACCGCGAAGCAGTTGCGGATCTCGACTTCGGTGCCATCTTCAGAGCGGGTGCCGAGCAGCGTTCCGATGACACGATCCTGGTCGGCATTTCGGCGGAGGGAGTGGTCCAGGATGGAGAAGATGGCCTGTCACACAGTCAGAAAACGAAAGACACCGCACGGCGAGCCATTCTCCGTCATACCTGGGGGTGGATGACAACGTTCAGAGGGGCAGTGGTCGGTGCAGACCCCACCGTCACAGGGCCCAGAGGCCGCGCGAGGTGAAGGAAGGAGTCGGTCTCAGCCATGCTGGGCGAGTGTGCAAGCAGACAGAGTCTGTTCCTCGAGGCCGGAGAAACAGACAACAAGCCTCTTTTCGTTTCTGGTGGTGGAGGAGTAGCCGGCTCCTTTGTTCCGCCCGCTGGGGTTTGCTGGCGACGGCGTTCCCGAATTGTGTGTGCGCGCAGACGAAATTTCACGCTAAGATAAGATAAGCAGGACGGCGGACGGCGAAAAAGTTCAACGACAACCACCCCGACTTCCTCCAGAACAGCTGCCACAATGGCGCCTGCACGCAAGCGAGGGAAGCGAGGAGGTGCTAAACGGTCGCGTCCTGGGCAAAATGCGTTCCAGACGTCGCGAGTTGAGGACATACGGTGAGCCCAGCCTCGCTCCAGTGTTTTCTTTTTTCAATGCATGCTAATCAGGACATAACAGCGACGACCAGTCAGCAGACGGGGCTGAGGAATTCCCCAACGGCGTCGAAGAAGAGGCACAGGATCAGGAAGCCTTAGATCTGTCCTCCGACAGCGAGGAGGAAGAGGAGAAATCCAAAGAACGGCCCTACAATACGTTGCTGCAGCTGTTTAATGCCGGTTCAGGTCCTGCTCGCAAGAAGCGGAAGCTGCGTCACAAGGACGACGAAGCAAAGGACGATGATAAAGCTGAAGTAGTCGCGGAAGAGGCCCAAGAGCCCCAGGAGATCGACGTGCTGGAGGCTCAAGAAGCGTCCGAAGAAGAGGACGAAGGGGCAGAAAATGCAGGCGCTGGCGAGGCGGATGATGAAGAGGAAGACGGTGAGCAGAGTTTCCTTTCTTTCTTTCTTTTTTTTTTGGGAGGAATGCTTGTCTGACTCGCTGCTAGTAACGGACCCGTTTGAGACACATTTCGCGAATCCAGACGAGACACAACTGTCGCAGAGAGTACAGGCTGTGTCTGAGGGGAAGTGGCGCCCTACCAAAAAGGAGCTTCCAGATGGGCTGCGGTTGGCACATAGCGTTCCTGATGTTGACGGGAAAGATGAAAGCATCCCGCCGCCGGTGCGAAGTACGAGCAATTTAAAGGTATGGTGGTCAGGCATGGGAAGAGATCTATCAGATTCTAACGCTTTTACAGCTCAAGAGAAAGCTGGTGTCTCCTGCTGCCGATCTCATTCCAAGTTTCAATAATCTCTCTCAGCATGTCGCCTCGCTGATGTTCAACTATCACGATCTTCTCCTGGGTGTGAGGACAACGTCGAACGCCGCGCACTTGAGAGACTTGCTCTGTCTGCATCTTCTCAATCATGTTTTGAAGACGCGGGATCGGGTGATCAAGAACAATTCCCGTCTTGCAAAGGACCAGGGAGAAGAGATGGAGCTACGAGACCAGGGATTTACAAGACCGAAAGTGCTCTTAATTCTGCCTACCAGACAAGCTTGTGTTCGATTCGTCGAGACGATAGTCAAGCTCTATCAACCCGAGCAGCAAGAAAACAAGAAGAGGTTTCTGGACGAGTACAACTCGACGGAGGATCCGGCGTGGGAGAACAAGCCGGAGGATTTCAAGGCGCTGTTTGGCGGGAACGACGATGACATGTTCCGGCTGGGCCTGAAATTCACCCGCAAGACAGTCAAATACTTTACACAGTTCTACAACTCGGACGTCATCATCGGGAGTCCGTTGGGTTTGCGCACCGTTATGGACAAAGAAGAGTACGTTCCTGATAGCTGACAGAGTTGCTTTCTGTCGAATCTAACTGACGAATTTAGTGTGAAAAAACGCGACCACGATTTCTTATCATCCATCGAGCTGGCCATCGCCGACCATGCCGATGCGCTTCTGATGCAAAACTGGGATCATGTGGAGTACATCTTCAACCATCTCAACCTGCAGCCGAAGGAGGCCCACGGGTGCGATTTCAGCCGGGTGCGCACATGGTACCTGGACGACCGGGCGCGATATCTCCGGCAGACCATCGTCTGCGCGTCTTTCATCACGCCAGAGATGAACTCGTTGTTCTCGGCACACATGCACAATATCGCCGGGAAAGCGAAGGTGACACCGTTTTACAACGGGGCTATCACTGAGATTTCGCTTCCGGTGTCGGTGAAGCAGACATTCTCCCGCTTTGACTCGTTGTCGCCTCCCAAGGACCCGGATGCGCGATTCAAGTACTTCACGACGGCGATTCTTCCATCGCTGACACGAGCGGTGGCGGGCAAGGGAAAGGGCAACAGCGCAGGCACGTTGATCTTCATCCCGTCGTATCTGGACTTTGTGCGCGTGCGCAACTTCTTCGCGACGTCGCCGCAGACGACGAACATCTCCTTCGGAGCCATCTCGGAGTACTCGTCGGTGCAGGAGGTGGCGCGGGCGCGGAGCCATTTCATGACGGGGCGGCATGCGGTGCTGCTGTACACGGAGCGCACGCACCACTTCCGGCGGTACAAGATCCGGGGCACCAAGCGGATCATCATGTACGGGCTGCCGGAGAACCCGGCCTTCTACGGCGAGCTGGTCGAGTTCCTGGGGCTGGACCCGGCGGGCGTCGTTGAGGCGGCGGCGGGCGGCGTGCGCGCCATGTTCTCCAAGTGGGATGCGCTGAAGCTGGAGCGCATCGTGGGCAGCCAGCGCGTGGGCAGCCTGCTGCGGGAGAAGGGCGGCGATACCTTTAGTTTTGTGTAGTATAGTATATACTGGATTAATCTATACTGTCATTCACTGTAGGTACATATACCTTGTACAGTACACATCTAATACCGTCATCATCAGACAAATGTTATACAGAAGCACGCCCGTCACACCAGCTGCGATACCTATCACAACATTATGCAGGCTGACTGGCATTTGACCAATTGCGAACAGTCATAGAAAGGATAAGTGTTATTAGTATTACTGTTGAGAACGAGTCATCACATTCCATTAGAAGACTCGAGTCGATTCTTTCTTTCTTTGCATTTTTCAATGAAAATGAAGTCTGTAATTAATTAATTAATTGCATGACTGAATTATAAGCAGATTTGTTTTTCATAACGCACGTACCCTTAATAATCCACGTGCCTCACGAGGCAATTCCACCAACTCCGGCTAAGACTTCCCCGCCATTCAGCGTCTTCCCCCCCCGCCTATCGCTGAAGTCTATGACAGGCGATACGCCTGGATTTCACTTTATTAGACACGAACGATCGGATTAGTTTCCGTGTCTGCTCTGCCCAGTCCAGTCCAGTCCAGCGCCTAGAACTTGCATTTTAGATCCCCAATGGCATTGCCTGGAAGGATGTGCTCATCATCGTCATTATCATCATCATCGTCGATTAACTGCTCACGTGCTTCGTTCTTTTCCTTCCTTTCTTACCAACTCTTCTTTTCTTTCTCTCTCACAGACTTCTTGACACTGATTGACTGACATACTTCTCTACTCTTGGCACGCACATATGTGCTGAGCACTAACTGTTGGTTGGGGGCTGCGGCTGTGTTCTAACTTCTTCCCATCCTCGGGTTTGTTCTCCGCTTCGCTTATCTTGCGTGGGGAAGGCAACTATCAGTCAGTCACTGACAGCAGACTGACAGCTGCCACTATATCCAGCTTCAGTTTAAGGGATTTTCGGATTCTCAAGTTCAAATTCTACAATAGAATTCGTCGGGTGTATGGACGAGCATTATGCGGATCCCGTATATGCTGTCCGGGAAGACGACACATCCTTCTGATGGCTCGCTGCAACAGCAGCAGCGAGAAGAACGCATTGTCGACAATTCTACAAATACAGATCCGGCGGTTCCTTCGGATCGGGTGACGGATAGCGATACCGCTGGCAAAGACGTCTCTTCAAAAGGACCCTCTGGTGATGGTGGGAATCGACATCTAGATGTTCGTCCCACGACACTTCGCCCCTCGGCCGATTCTCTGTTCTCGGACCTTTCGCTGCACACGGGCAACCTTTCGCATGACCACGCCTATCGCCCGCCTACATTGCGATCTCCCTCGCCCGCAGGCCCGCCGGTCGAGCCGGCCGCCTCCCGTCCACGGCGGACATTGAGATCCATGCTCTGGATGGCGTGGCTGCAGAGCAAGGGCATGCTCATGGTGATATTGTCGCAATTCTTTGGTGCCTCGATGAATGTCATGACCCAGATGCTCGAAAAGGATGGCTCCCACGGCAAGGCGATGCATCCGTTCCAGGTAAGTTGGGGGACATCTTGTCAAGAGATAAAAAGTAAGGATATTCCTGACCTGTCCACCTAGATCCTCTTCACGCGCATGTCCATCACGGCGCTGGCCAGCTATTTGTACATGTGGTATACCCGCGTTCCCGCTCCTTTTGGAACCCGAGAGGTCCGGTGGCTCCTTATCCTTCGAGCAGTGGGCGGGTTCTTTGGTGTATTCGGGATGTACTACTCGCTGCTATATATGCCTCTGTCCGAGGCCACCGTGCTAACCTTCCTGGCTCCTATCGTCGCCTGTTATGCGTCGTCGTTTCTGATGCCCAACGAGCCGTTCACTCGAAAGCAGCAGCTGGCAGGGCTGATCTCGCTGCTGGGCGTTGTGCTCATCGCTCGTCCGTTCTCCGGGACGGACAGTGAAAGTCCTTCTGCAAGTATCGAAATGGTCCCTGCCAATGGGACCGAGACTTCGTCGTCGGAGACGTTGGTGACGGTGGACACTTACCACCATCTGATCGCGATTGCCTTTGCTCTTCTTGGGGTGTTGGGCGCAGCGTGTGCGTATACGGTGATCCGCTTAATCGGAAAGCGGACGCATGCGCTCGTCAGTGTAACCTACTTTTCCACGTACACGACCATCGTCTCCCTGGTGGCCATGGTGGCTATACCCTCGGTCTCGTTCCGGCTCCCCGCGAACCTCACCGAGTGGGCTCTTCTCCTAGGGCTCGGGATGGCGGGTTTCTTGATGCAGTATCTGCTGACAGCGGGATTGGCATACGCGCCGCCAGCAGGCTCGACGGGCCATGGCACGCGGGCCACCTCGATGGTGTACACGCAGATGCTTTTTGCGCTGTTCTATGACAAGGTGGTCATGGACAGCACGCCCTCCGCGGTGAGTTGGGCGGGATCGGGGCTCATTTTGGGAAGTGCGCTCTACGTAGCCATTGCTCGAGAGAACCGGCCCAAGACGGCTGAGGACGAGCAAGTCCTCGTGGAGGAGCAGACGGACACGAGACAGAAAGATGTGCTGGACGAGCAGCGCGATCTTGAAGAGGGGCAAGGGTTGTTAGCAGCTGAACAGGGGCATGAAGAGAGTAGCGAGCATTCTCGAGAGAACAATCGAGCAGGCATTTCCCGTTGATTCTACGGAGTAATCACATGGCCATCTTTCTTGGAGACATCCATCCATGTCTGGTTTCTGTGAGGGGGATGATAGCCCGGAAGAGAAAGATGCAGATCTCGTGGGAATTGTATTTGATGAATCGAACCCTGGTCCACACGGAGCAGTCTCCTCCGTGCAGAGCAGGGGAGGATAGATAGAGCATAGATAGAACACATAGAGAGTGCAATGAGTGCATATGGGAATGCTTATCATTTTTTCGAGCTAGTGGTAGTCCGTTGGCGATCTTCGCGGGGAGAAGACGCTAAGTCGGGGTGCAGCCGGAGCACTGCCGTCCGGCGCGAGAAAGCGCCCGCTATGGCGTCAATGGCTTCATCGACCCACACCCACGTTCATTTTCCGAGATTCCAGAGTAATACTCTACCGAGTACGTATGAGTATTCTATCTACGGTAGAGTACTCTGATAGTACTCAGTTCTGTACGGAATACTGTTGTTGTTCACTATTGATACTACCAGGCCCTACGGAGTACGAGATTAGCGTCGATCACTGGCTGCATATATGCCTCAACTCAACTCTCTCAATGCACGAATTCCAACGGGCCGCACGGCGATCCCAGCATTAATATTAATTACATTGATCCACTGCTGCTGCTGCTGGCCCATCCAGGACGCAACCGATGGGCCCGAGACGTCATAGGGTTGCAGACCCTGCTCTTTCGCTCACCGAAATCTCCCGACTTGCCTTGCAGATCCACATGGCAGCGTCCTCCATGGACAATGAAGTGAATGAACTGCGCTGTACGGAATAGGGTGGGCCATTCAGCGCTGACCATATAAGACTGCAATGCTCTCCATCTGCTGTCTCGCAATGCGTGAGCATACGTGGTGCTTTGTTGGAGGAGGTCGGTGCATCTGCCATGCAATTTGCTGCTGGTCGACGATATAGATAGAGCTGCGAGGAATGCAAACTTCGTCACACCATCTCTGTCTTCTTGATCAGTTTCTTTGATCTTATCAAGTCTGTCCTCTGGGAGGACATGCAAAAGTGAGACAAATAGACTGTTAGACTGTTTTCTTCAGAGTCACCTCGACATGCGTCACTTCGATGCCTGGATCCTTAGGGATCCCTATTCCATCTGGCACTACTACTCGACGGGTCGACGATGGCAAGAGACCATCCGGGACATGATTCAAGAACGCCGCATCTGCGCACCGCAGGTCGACGCATCCACTCCCCGCAGGGCCGTTGACCCTCTTGCCCGTGAGCCATCTCCGCAGCAAGACTGCCAGTTCCTCCAGAGATTGCCGCCTGAGATCCGCCTGATGATCTACCGCTACGTCTTTGGCGACGAGGCGGTCCATCTGGTCCAGCTCAAGGGCAAGATCCGCCATGTCCGCTGCCAACATCCGTCCTCCTCCATCGAGAAGCATCGCCACTGCTGTCCCGTAACGCCTGCGCGCTGGCGCGTGTACGACGGTCGTGTTGCTGGTCACAGTGACCGTATGCTCTATCCGCACACCCATGCCCAACTGCCCGAGCTGCTGAGCAATTCCTCTCTGGGGCTGCTGCGCACCTGCCGTACCATCTACCTGGAGGCAGCCGACATCCCGTACTCGAACCTGGTCTTCGATGTTGATGACCTGCACACCTTTGTGGCCTTCTCGCTCAGCGTCTGCCCGGAACGTCTCCGGTGTATCAAACGGCTCACCGTGCAGTGGATGCCCGTATGGCGGCCGATGGCTGGCGAGGAGCACTGGTCCTCCATCTACTCGCACACGCACAACGACCGTCTCTGGGTGCTCTTCTGGGAGCGCGTCCAGGCTCTTTCCGGACTCGAAGAACTGCGGGTCAGTCTGGATCTGGGACGGTTCACTGGCGCCGCAGTGGGAGGCGTCGTCATCGGAGGGAAACGCATCCGGCTGGCGATTGACGAGCCGTGGGTGGCGCCGATGCTGTCCATCCGGGGGTTGCGGGATTTTGACTTGTGTGTGACGGCCCGCTGCGACGCGTCGGCGAAGAATCTCCTAGGTGACGAGATGCGCCGGGATGCTGCCCAGCTGCGCGACCATCTGCGGGCGGTGATGTGTTCGCCTCGGGGGACTGTCCCTTCGATCGATGGGGTGACACTCAAGGTGCCTGAGGTGAAGCGATCGGAGATTCGTTCGAGGCCGCGTCTAGCGATTACTGCGGCTTGAAAAACGATTTTCACAACACCGGCAATACATGACAAATGAAACAATTTCCTGGTGAAGTGAACGCATGGCCAGGCTTCCCCGCCGCCAGCGCCATAGAGAGATGCGATACTTCTAGAACCCAATTCTCCACGAGAATGATGGCTTAAATGCACGGAAGCTGAACATAGAGACATCGTCTGTCCCGCTAGACGGGGTCATAAACTATCGCATGCGTGACTGTCAGCATCAGCAGGACTAGATCAACACTCCATTCGACCTTGATACCCCTTTTAGCGTTTACAATTCTGATTTTTTCCCTTCCAATCCATTGATTTCCAGATCTGGAAACGGAGGACCAGCTGATCGAATAGAATAGAATAGAATGCGTTGGTTTTTTTTTTGTCTTGCCGTGTTTGCTGGTTCGAACAGATAGTATAGACGGATAACAAAGGACTACAGACTAGTTTTAGACTGGGCTAGGATAGAATGTCTGGATGGAATCGAATCAATCGGAATCAGTTTTCATGGATTTGCTCAGCGTTTACTGAAAGTAGTAGCTAGAGAATCATTATCATCAATTCAAATAATGAACCCAAAGCGAGAGCTTCTACGAAGTACAGTACATGTGATCTCACCCGTGAACCAGATTGTTATCAAGGATATATAGCACATCCATCGATCGACACTGTCAATCAGATCGATCAGATCAGATCAGATCAGATCCTTTTTTTTATTATTTTTCCTTGTCAGGGAAGTTATAATTTAGTTTAATTTAATTTACTTTTACTCAACTAGCCTGGTTGATTGATTGATTGATTGATTCCTTATGATACTAATCATCATCATTTTCTGCTTCTGCTTCTGCTTCTTCTTGTTCTTTTGTCGTCTTTTTATTATTTTACACTTGTCAACCTAGCTACCTTACCTAAACTAGGAGTTAATAGTTCTATATACATAGGTGTAGGTATGTACAGTACATAGTCCTTATTATTTAGTCAAAGTATATACTGTACTGTACTGTATGTACCTATTGATTGATCGATCGATCGATCGATCAGATATCTGCCTTCATTTTCATCATCTTGACTTGTCTTGTCTTGCAAGCAACTCTCTAGCTTTGTCTCTGTCAAAAGGTTATATAGCTTAGTCACATAGATAATAAAAATCTATATTAATTATACAGTCAATTGAGGTTGTGATGTTTTATTTATTTGTTTGGTGTCGTGTCTGAGTCTGAGTCTATGGGCACTGTACTGTATTGCCTGAGACAGAAAGATAGAAAATTTATATTTACTCCGGAGTATATAAAGGAGGTTGGGGGGGGGGGGGGGAGGGAGAAGGGAACAGTACAGATAAAGACACTCTCACTACATGTACGTACATGTATGTACATAAAAAAAATAGACAAAGAAGAAGAAAAAAAAGAAGTCTCAGAAGAAGACGACGAGAAACATACTGAGCTACATGTATGTACTCCGAATTTGATTTGGCTCAGCTTATTTATATTTAGATCGTATCTCGTCTTCTTAAGAAATTCTTCTTCTTGATTTATCTCACTCACGAATGTCGACTGACTCAGTCAATGCTAACTTGACGTGACTTCATACCTGTTGCGTTGATATCAATAGTCACTCAAATCACAATCACCTCAAATACTATTCATTATTTCAATGTGAAATACATCTCTCTGTTCGTCACACATCCATATCACTGCTATCTCCACTGCTATCCAGTCAGATATCCACCAAGATCGCGCTCCCCCATCCCCTCAGTCTGGGCCACTCAAACTCCTCGACATCCTCATAGCTGTCCTCCTCGACGTCGACATCGTCGTCCACGTCCCACTCTCCCGCGTCGTCGCTCTCCGACATCGACAGCGCCCGCTCCCTGATCTCTGTCCAGTCCATGCCCTGGCTCCACGCCCGGATGTCATCCAGGTCGACGGCCGACAGCGTCTCTGGCTCCGCGATGTTGGCGTTGCGCCCGCGCTTCACCACCACGAGGAGCTCTCTGTCCCATTCCGTGTCGGGCATGTGAGTCGGTGGCCCCTGCGGCGGACGCTGCGATGATTGCACTGTGTCCTAATACAGGATGTCGTCTTCGTTGAAGAGCTGGCGCGCTTCGGGGCAGAGGATCGACGGAGTAGTAGTAGTAGCATCAGCAGTGGTGGTTGTAGTGTCTGGGGTAGTCCTCCGATAGATCGTCACAGAAGCACCAGACTTCTCGCCCCCGTCGCGGCGATACAGATGCTCTTCCCAGGTAATCGGCAACCCGATGCGGTAGCGGTCTCCTTCCTCGTCGGGCTCTTCTCGCTGGTGAATCAGCGCCCACATTAAGGGCGCACTGTTGGGCGTAACGAAGTTGAGCTGCCGCCAGCCATTGCCTTTCTTGACCAGGGCTGTCAGCGTCTGCCACGCCGTCCGGTCGTCGGACGAGCAGAAGACGGTCAGGACGTCTAGACGCAGCGCGGGCACCAACTTCAGGATGGCTGCGAGGCTGTAGCTGAGTACTGCCCGGGCTTCGGTCCCTCCTCCTTGCTCAAGATTCTGGATGAGCGCCTCGATCCCACCCTCTTCTGGCTGCAAGTCCGTCTGAAACCACAGCGACTCAGCCCAGACGCGCAGCCGGCGAATCTTGGACACAGTAGCGGCCGACAAGGGAGTGAGCTTGTCCAGGAGCGTGCGCGGATCCTCGAAATTGAAGAGAACCAGATTCAGCCAGAGGTCCCTCGTTTCACGGTATATCAGACGGCAGACGCGCAGCAGGGCCAGGCTGTTGCTCCGCGGTCTCTTGATGCGCGCCGCATGCGCAGTATTAGTATTATCCATGACTCGTTTCCCGAACGTGAGCCGCGTCGAGGCGAAGACGAAGTCGTAGATGAAAAGCCGGATCTCTGCTGGGAGCAAAATGAACCGCGTAGCCGGTTCATCAGTATTAGTATCAGCATCAGCGTCAGCATCTATAGGTGCGATATTATCATCTGCTCTGGTGGTGGTGGAGGTGTCATCCTCAGCCATGGCTGGCGAGTGATATGATATACAAGATGCGCTGACAATAGACTATTGACACCGGCAACTGTGATATGATAATGCCAGAATAATGTCAGAATCTGCTGCTGTAGAAAGAAAAAAGAAAGCCAGCACTTTGCTTCTAAAGCAAAGAGACAAGAGCCAAAGCGCAGTCGAATGAAATGAGAATGGCAAGATAAGATGAGACTTGATATTCAGCGTAAACGAGTAAGCGAGTCCAGTATGAGTATGATTCAGGACAACCAGAACCTGTAGAAACTGTAGAAACTGCAGAAACAGCAGAAACTGCGTGCCCTGAAAAGACAAGATGAGATGAGACGAGACGAGTGAAGAGTGAAGAGCAGAAGCCAGCATGTAAATATATCATCAGATCAGGACAAACTGGTTAATTAATCTGTCTGTCGTGTTATTGTTATTATTATCATCCATTCTCTTTGACAACAGCAACAAACAGCAATTCCTTGAACGAAACCAGTAATAGTGACAGAGACAGACAGACAGACACACACAGACAGAAAGACAGACAAAGGGCATAGGGCATTCATTCATGCTAGCTAGGTAGGTAGGTAGCTTGGTTTACTTCTGTCTGTCTGTCTGTCGCTGGGGCGATACTCATGCAGAACTCTTTGATAATAACAGACAGTACAATAGGATGTCAACTCTCTTGGCGCCCTTCTTTCTTTCTGTTGACATGCATTCATTGTCTCCAATACCAGCAGTATGAGTGAGTATGGGGGAACTCTGGGCGACATGTGTAGAGTCATGCCGTGCCGTGCCGCCCTGGACAAAACAAAGTACATTATCTTCCCAGCAAACTTGATCAGTCATTGTCTTCTGCTTCAGAAGTTATCTTTGGCACAAAGAGTCTGAGATGGATGCATGCATCCTTCAACGCCATCTATTATTACCCAAGAATTATTGTACAGTACAATTTTAATTTTGCACCACCAAGTCGCAGAGTTGGGACTTTTCATTCATGCTGTTTTTTTGTGGCTTTTGTACTCGGTTGGTATACAGATTCGGTCTTCTATTCTCAAATTATTTTTTTTCTTTCCCATTTTTGTTGTCTAAACCTCTTTCCATTAATGCTCGTGTATGAAGGATCTGATGACAGCAGTCGGTGCTGTCAATTGCGGCGTACATCGCTAAAAATATGACTTCCGTTAAGAGAATGCGAAGCTGCCAAGCAAGCACCACCAAGCAATGGCAGCAATTTCCACCAATACTATTTGTATTTGCGGTTCTGATGGGGCCGTCACTTACATACTCTTCTTCTTCTATGAATAGGTGAGGCTTCGAGGCGAGAAACAGCTACGATCCCACGCCGACTGCATCCGGATGCTCTTCGCTGGTCTCATGAGCAGCAACCGAGGACGTGTCTTTGTCGTGCTCCCGGTCCTCGTCACTTGCAGTTGGCGAGGTTGGTTGGCTTTGTAAGTCACGCAGGGATTCCCGTGTCCGTGTCATCTAATAAGACTCACATCAGCACCTGAAACGGAGTACAAAATAAAAGGACAAACTAACCCATGCTCTGACACCACCAATCAGGCCCAGGCTGTAGCCCGTGGCAAAGTCCTCATTCCGTCCGGACGCAGGCGTGTCAGGACGTTGCTTCGAGCTGTCCAGCCGCGAGAGATGCAGCTTGGACACGCTATTGCTAGCCGAACGAGGGCTGGTCACGTCGCCACCATTGCGGGTGCTGCGCGCAGGGCTATTCGATCGGCTGCTCTGCCAAAACTGGCGGAATTCCTTTGTCAATTCCTGCCCAGTCATGGTCCAGTTGTTTCGAATGCTTTCGCGAAGCTCAGCCACGTGGCGTTTGATCTCAAGCTCGTTCTTTTTCAGCCACGAGACATTGAGTTCCTGTCTGGAAGCGCCCCGCTTGAATTGACGAGCGATATATTTATCATAGTCACGAACGATCCTAACTGGCGTCAGTGACATATTCCGCAGTTGAGAAAGGGGAAATACGAACTTTGTGATGATCCCTGTCGTGCTGACGCCTTCTGTTCGCTGAGTCACGAGGAATTTACCCTGAGCCTTGATCGGGGCATAGATGTCGTCTCCCTCGTCCGCTTTGTACGGGAGGTCGTCGTGTGCAACATAGTCGATCTGGTGCTCTTCCAGGAACTCCGGAGTGACGACCCACGGGCAGTTGGGAATGACTTCGTCCACCCATCTACAATGCCGGACCGTCTCTGCTCGCTCTGCACCTGAAAGGACGGTAAGACCTTTTCGCTTGTGTGTCTCTTCATCTCCGGTTACACCGACAATGAGATAGACCTCAGGAAAGGCCTTTTTCGCCTGTTCGAGTTGTCGCATGTGTCTGCGCTATAGGTCAGTGAGAGAATATGAATTGGTCAGACCCAAAAAGCGTACCCTAGGTGGAACAGGTCGAACACGCCGTCCGCGTAGACCCGAACCGGTCTGCCCTTGGGCGGAGGGTTGGTATGGTAGCCGACGGGATCCTGAAGCCCGGCTCTCAATGGCGGATCAAAGAACCCTTCTGAGTCGCCCTGCTTCTTCCCACCCGTATTCAGAACTGCCTTGCTGATCTTGGGCTTCAAACGGCTTTCGATATCGGCGCTGGCCTCGGTGGTTTCGGATGGCTCGCCGGGATCCTCCTTGCTGATGGAATGACCTTCAGTGCCCGTCCCATTGCTCATCGTCGACAGACCATCGGCGTCGGCGCTGGATTGCGTCCGGGCGCGCTTCGACGGCGGGACATTATTACTTGTGGCATCGATGGATTGTGAACTTTTCTTGTGTTTGGGGGTGGACGCGGCGGACTCGTCGCCTTCTTCACCAGACGCGTCTCGCGACGAGGGCTGCAGCAGATCTGCGGTGGACGACTGGGGAGTATCGGCGGCCAAGTGATGCGAGGAGCTTCGCTTGCGCTTGCCAGCGCCGGAAGGAGACTGGGAGGACATGGTCGTGGACGAGTCCTGCGGAGGGTTTGCGTCTACCGGGCACTCTGGCAGGAGAGAAGGTCAAGAAAACAATAAGAAAAGGGTCTGCTGGACCAAAAGGACCGCAGTGCCAATCAAACGGACGGTTTCAACTTGAAAGAGGGAATACGGGGCTCCCTGGGCGCTTTGGTACTCGAGCGCCAATGCCGGAGGGCAATTAGGAAGATCACGGGCCGCGTCGCTTAAAACTCCGTCAAGATCCTGGACAAGGAGCGGTGGGGACCCCAAGCCCAAGTCGCCGAGCCCTGAGAGTCGCTCTGGCAGCCCGCATCAACGACCGCAGTGGGTGACCTCCGATTCAGAAGTTATCGAGAAATTGTCCCTAGAAGAAGCGTTGCAGGAGCATGCAGCAGCCCGACTGCGGATGACGTGTTGATGCGGGCTGGACTTGCCCGTGGATTCCTGTCCCGGTGAGCTTAGCCGCTGCGGGTCACGTCATGACGGGCACGTCAGAAGAAAAACAAGGCACATTCTATTGTCATATAACATAAAAGACGGGAAAACCCGCTCAATGCGTCTTCAATTACTACTCTCCCCCATTGATACAGCCTGGTCATGGATCCAAAACAACTTGCATACGTAGGGAATGACGAACACGCGATATCATATCTATGAGATCCGCCAACAAAAGGTATTTAATGCCCCGGGGCGGCGTACAAAATCAAAACAACAACAACGGCGTCAAAAGTAGTACGATTCATCCAGTCCAAATGAGACTAAAATGAGCTCAAACGTGCAAGCTTATGAAAGTACCGGTTACGCCATGATGTGTGCAAAACCACCCTTTGATCCTTGCCATCCCTTCCTGCTCCGACAGCCCTCGCTAGCCCAGACATCTATCCAGACGCAGGCCTTCGTTTGCCACATCGCACGGCACAGCCTTAACAAAAAGAACAAAAAAGATGTTAACGGTAACGACAGGGTTCATCCAGGGAAATATGGGAGAATAGGGGTAAAAAAAAGAGACATCACGAAAGGGGTGGTTATCACAAGAAATCCGGGCCGTGCGGTGTGTATGGAGGGAAAACAAAAACGAAGAAAAAAAAAAGAAACAAAAAGGACGATGTTCATCGTCAAGGCAATGGCATGTGAGGTTTCACAACGCTCCGGAAATGCCACTTGAGCAGAGATTATTTCGGCTCGGAGTAGAGTAGCCGTCCAAAACCGCGGTCCTGCAGGGCGACGTAAAGGAGCGCGAGGAAGCGAAAGCGATCGGGCAGAAACCGTGGGGGATCAATAGAACCGTCATCATCATCGTCGTCGTCTTTCTAAACCAAAGGGAGGGGAACGATAAAACAGAGGGAATGACCGTGACTAAGACTCGGAGGGTTTCTCACTGGCTTCGCCGTCTTCGTTGCCTTTGCCGGACGATTCCGTTGTGATCGACGAGGGCGAGGCAGAGACTTGGGGCGTGGTTTGTGAGGTGTCCTTATTATTCTGAGGGTTGTTCTGATAGGTAAGCTGGGGTCCAGGAGTGCCTTCACGTTGTTTTCGGATGGCGTCATTGCTAGACTCAGAGGAGCTGTTCCGTACCTGGCTCTTGTCGTCTTTGCCTTCGTCGGCCGGGTCAAAAAGCTCTTCTTCCTCTTCTGCCTGGTCAGCATGAACTTCAGTGCCATCCCCCAAAAGGATGATCCTGCCTGAGCGGACGCCGAAGGAACTCGATCGACTGTCCATCTCCAAATCGTCGTAGTCTGGGCTCTCATCAAACTGACGCCGGACGCCCGGGCCGCGGAATTCAGCTGCAGCCCATCAGTCAGCAGGACTTCGCGTCCTAGGATGTCTCATTACACTTGCCGTACTCGGGCGGAGCGCAAGGGCCGTCGCCTTTAGCAACCCGCTCTGCGATGGTGTTGTACCACTCCTCCTTCGTCTTCCCGTTGAGGATTCCAACGATGACCATCGTCATGTTGTCGCATCCTACACCACCTGTTTCACTGTTGGAAGCAAGGCAGTTATCCATCATGTTCTCACAGATCCGGTACAGCTCCTGTTTGGCAGCAATGCCTCTCCTCACGAACTCAATCACCGCCTGAGAAGATTGGCAATCCCAGATACCTAGGTCACATCAATTTAGCCCTGAGAATGCCCCGTTCGTAGGAATTGTAGGTAAAACGTACCATCGCACGCAATGACGAGGAATTCGTCATCTTCGGTGATCTCGTGGACGGTTACATCTGGAAAAGCAGTAACAATCTGTTGTTCGGGGGACAGTTCAGCGCTCTTCTTGAACTCGAAGTCACCAATTGCGCGGGACAAGGCCAGGTTGCCATTGACACGCCCAAAATCCACAAACCCTCCTGCAGCACTTATACGAGCTTTCTCGCCTGGAGTCCATTGTCAGAGTGTCATCCACGGGTACACCACGCTGGGGAAGTCAGACCTTCATTCTGGGGCTTGTGGTCAAAAGATAATGGCTTGGCTCGGCCCTTCACACCGAGCACCGACCGCGAGTCACCTGCATTTGCCTGCATGTGGGTTTAGCATGACCCAGGTAATCAAGAGAACGATCATTGCGAGTACTCACCACCCAGATCTTGTCCTTGGAGATGACGCCGACAGAGGCAGTGCAACCGGAGACTTCCTCCTCATATTTGGGGTCTGATCACGTTAGCGATCGTTATCGATGATAATCCAGAAGAGTGGACCAACAGACCTTCGAGGATAGCACGGTCGGTAGCCAAAAACCCGTCTTTCAAAGCCTGTTCAATATCGCCCCTTGCAAATGCCTCTTGCTTGGCGACAATCTTGTGGACATTCTCTCCTGCAAATAAGGCCACCTTGTCCCCTCCATGCCCGTCGTATACGCCAAAGAATGACAGTCGCTTGTCTGGTGAGGTTGGTCTCCCTTCCTTATCTAGATACTTGGCTTGCAAATCGAGCACTGCAGCATGCGCATCTTCCATGCTGATTCTCCAGCCCTGCATGGCTGAGAGTCCGTACAGAACGCATTCATCTTGGCCCTGGGCAGACGTCTAGAGATGGAGCCAGTCAGCAACATCACGACACATTATACGGAGAAAAAGGAGAAAAAAGAATCCACTGGACAGCATTGAGAACCGAGACAACTGAAAAGATATGCACAAGGATCCCAGTGTCGAGGCGTCATTGCCGATGAGGCCAGTCAAGTAGCATCCGCCGGTTGAGGCACTCTGCCCCGCGCACGCCGAGGGCGGCGGTTGATGCTGATGCTGGAAGGGAAGGGGGAAGAGGATGGATGGATGGCAGCAAAGACATGATTTGCAGCATGCTGTCTTCAGACACGGGCACCTGCGACAGGACGTAGCTGAATGGGCCCGAGGCAGAGGAAAGAAAATCTCACCTTCTCTACAACGGGTTCTGATAAGGTCTGCCCCATGGTTTATGGCAGGTCACAGTCAACACTGAAAGTATCTGCTTGCCTCTCACAATCATGCACGGCCCAGAGAAGTCATCCGCCGGAGTCGCTTTTGCAGGTATGGGGGTTGAGAGCGGCGCAGGAGGAAGGGCGGCGTTCTGGAGGGGAAGGTACCAATACCCAGCAGCTTTAGCGCAAAATCGATCGAGAGGATGTGGGGGGGGCAGAGAGTGCGCAGGGTGGAGAGAGGCAGCGAGAAGGGGAGCCGGCGAGACACGGCTCCAACGAGCAGCAGAGACAGCGAGGCGAGGCGAGAAGGGCAATTTTGGACTCGCGAGAGCAGAGGTGCCGGCACTCCAGGAGGAGAGTGTGTGCAGGGTCTGCAGTCGCGTGTTGGAGGCAGTCCAGTCGGAGGAGAGAAATGACGAAAATACTTAGCGTCTGGTGACTGGCGGCCTGCGGTACGACGGGCCTGAACTGAGCCATACAGACCACAGTACGCACCGTCAGCAATGAGGCCGGCCGGACAAAGCCTCTGGCAGGCTCACTACGCCCGTTTTATTCATCGCCATACTGCTTCGGGCAGGCTGTACATGGTGCTTCCTACAGCAGGCGTCGCTTCTTCCCTGCTCTTACGTACGCCGGCGGACGGCGAGTGCCTCGCCCCAGCGTGTCCAATTTTTTGTGTTTTCTCTCTTTCTTTCTTTCTGGCTGGCCCCAACAACTTACAAGGGACGCATAAGGGATCGTCCTGGCAGGCGAGACGGCGTGGAATTGGATCGAGCAGAATTTTCACTGGGGGCGTCTTTGCACGCAGCTGCTGCCTGTCTGACAGGTTGGCCGCAGACCGCCCCGGCCTCTTTTTGTCCCATTTCCGGCACCCCGCCCAGTCCAGGCCCTGGCTGCTGCCAGCCCGGCCCCCGTCCGCGCTGGATTTAGGATTAATTGACTGGCCGGCGCGATGCCTCCGGTGGCGGTTTGTCGCTCCGTACTGATCCCCCGGAGATCAAAGCTTCTCCAGTCGCCGTCCTCTTCCCCAGGTTTTGTACGCTTCATCGCCCAGATAAACTCACCCGCCAGATAAGCATGCCGCCTCGCGGACGCATTCCCACGGGTGAAGGCACCGGATGAGGAGCAAACTGGACCTAGACTACCTCTGTCCCTCTCTCAACAGGCTACGAAGACGCCCATGACGTAGACGGTATAGTGCTAACTATCAAACACAAGCATTGCATTCCCGAGGTATCTCGCCAAACCACACGCTATGCAAAAAGGGAATACAATGTCCATCATACAGAACTAGCCAACTTAGTTGTGAATGTCCCCAAAAAACAAAATTAGAAAATAAAAAAGACCTGGGTCACACAAACGCCAGGAAACTTCCTGTATTCTCCCGTTGCAATCCGTCTCTCTCCTCCACGCTCACTGACCGCTGCTCCCGGTTCTCATCCAGCTGCCAGTGTCGATCGCCTGATCGTGTGGCTGGGCTGCTATCCGGACCCCCAGTTCGTATCTGGCTCATCCGACGGTCTGGACTCTCTTCTCCTGCCACCGCTGTTTCCGCCTCTACTTCGTTGACATCGTAAAGAGGGTGCGCATTCGCAGCATACCACTGCCTACGACCCTCATGATCCTCCTGCTCGTCCACCAAGTCGTTGTAGTCGTCCGAGCCGGTCATCGAATCGGCGGATTCGAAGCGTCGCGCGCTGCTCAGGCTGCCTTGGCTCCAGAACCGTGGGATCTGGGCGATCGCGTCGGTATACTTTTGAATCAAGCTTGGTTGACTGCCTCTCGTTTTCGGCACATTTAATCCGTCAAAATTGGCCGTCGCTTGCGACATGGGCCGAAGCTGAGTGGAATGGCGGAAATCATCTGTGTATACTGATGCCGACATCGCCGTAGAGACGGGACGGACCTGAAGAGACTGCCGATGATCTTCGGCATTGGTCGAGACCGAGGCAGCGGTTTCAGCAACGCTAGAACTTCGGCGTGCCTTTTCCAGAGCACGACAACCGGACGATCCCCGACTGTTCAGTCGGGACGAGAACATCGGATTGCCCGAGTTCCGGCTCCTTGCTCGATTCTGGATAAAAGCTTCGAGAGAGTCCGCCTCTGGTTGCGTAGGTGAACCAGCACTAACTCGCTTCGATTGTTGTGGATATGGTAAACTGTCTCTTGTTCGCGCGAGAGGGGGGCGAGGAAACATAGTAGCCAAATTCTCAATGCTGGTGTCGTCTCCGCTTGGGCAGGACGTTGGGGCATTCTGCCAGGACATCCTTACTGCTCCAAGCCCTGGTGGTTCGATTCCTCCCGCTCCATGACCTGCACCATTGAGTCTCGGCGGAAGGCCGGACGCCACTGATGATAAGCCACTTGACTGCCTGGAGTACCTTTTGGATTTGGTTGACATAGCCGAATCTCTCTTGAACGACCGGGGTTGTATTGGTTTTAGAGGCTCTCTCTTCGAATGTCTCCTCGTACTTCGATGCGAGACAGGGGAGGTCTGGGTCACACTGGTGCTTTCTTTGGTAGCTTCTCGAGTCTGCTTGTCCTCATGTGCTCCAGCGTTCGCGAAGTCCCATCCAACCGTTGGTCGGGGAGGCTGATTTTCTTGATCCGCCATGTTAGGGGTTTGCTCTTCTTCATTCTTTAAGGAATCCGTCTCCCAGAGAGGTCCAAGTTCCAGACGGGGAGCAACCGAACGAGTGGATGAACTTGATGAGCTTCGCCGTGTCTCGGGTGGTTCTTGTTGCTCACATTGCTCATATGGCTCGCATTTCGGTAGCTCTTTCATTTTGGATGATGGCGACGGTGGTGTTTCCTGATCATGTCCTCCCTTTCCAGCTGTTTCTTGACGCCTACGTCGCCACCAACAAAGCAGGATAGCCGTGGTGACGATGACAACAAACGGTACCACAACGGCAACCGCTACGATCCCAACCTTCCGCTCATGGATTGGATCTTCTGACCCAGAGGAGTTCTGATCATTGACATCGCCCCCTTGGTCCGGTCTGGATATCTTGAGATCGAGGTTGCGTGTCTCGACAGTCGATCCTTGGCTGGCAATCAATTTGATCTCATAGGTTTGGGGGGCCAAATCAGCTGGAACATGCCCGTAGAGTGTCCTGTTTGCGTCATTATACTTCACCCAGGAAGGCACTTTCTCCAGGTCGACATCTAACTTCACTGTGTCATCACTGAAGAGGTATTTGTCGAACGTGTATGAAAAGTCTTCTCCAATAGTCGCATTACAGCTTTCGACACCCCTGAAAAACAATTGAGATACTCGGAGACGTATATCCAGAGTTGCGGTGTCCTGATAAACGTCCGTGACCGTGACCGTGATATTCTCGTTCCCAGCGTCTTCAGGAGCTGTTCCGCTGAGTGATATGGTGTCATGATCCAGCTTCAGCCAGTTCGGTGCATCAAGTTTGATACTTGTCAGGTTCTGGGTAGTTGCTTGGTTTCCGTCAATCGTCAGATCGCCAATGAAATGGGGAGTGCTGAAAGGCTGTCCTCTCGTGAATTTCAGCGTTTGCACAGTATGGTTAAATGCCATTATATGCGGACCGACGACGATATCAAAGCTGACAGTAGCTGCGCTGAAACCGGCCACATCGGAGGCGACTATATTGAAATTGAAAGTCTGGGGCCCTGATGATGGAGAGGATGGACTGTTTCCGGAGAATGACAGAGACGATGGGTCAAAGCTGATCCAAGACGGAAGCGGCGAGTTGTCAGATGACGTGGCATAGTAGATTGTCGTGAAATGAGTGTTCTTAAACATGTCGGATGCATTAAAGGAAAGGTGAAAGGGTCGACCGGGGTACATGAAAATGGTAGAGGGGCTCGAAGTAGGGCCAGATTTAGCCAACTGAGGTAGGAGTGACTTCCCGGGTTCTGGTCCTGCCTCGTTCGATACGACCAGTGTAACGCCCATGTTAGCAGATCCTGATTGATCTGACGCCTTCAGATCAAACTGGACTGTGCCCGCATCCCCAGGACCCGGCGTCCCATAAAGGGTCCTGCTACCGCTATCGAGATGGAGCCATCTTGGAGCATTCGTAAGCGAATATTCCAGACCAGCTTCGCCATTGACGAATGTGCTCTCGGAGAAGCTGAACCTGAAAGGTTTGGAGACTCGAGCAACCGGTGGCAGTTGAGAATTGATGGGATAGTTCGCCACTGGTACCGCAGCGACAGTCCAAATGAATGTTAACAGAGCAGTCAGAAGAGACGTCTCAATCATATTTCGTCGACACAGTCCAGTCATCGCACCCGACTGTCAGCTGACGATAGAGTGTTGAAACCGAATGCTCGCGACTCGCCAGCGACGTCATCAAAGTGACAAGACAGAATGGCAAGGACGAGCTGAATCGAGAAGATGAACAGGTCAGGGAGGTTCCTCAGTGCCCTTGAGAGAGGATACGAGCCTCAAAAGATCCCTCAGAAAAGCCAGGGCCAGGGGCAAAGGACTAGAAAACGCCCGACGCGAGGCGTGTAACCCCTTCGAAGTAGCCATGTCTGAATATGTTTGACGTCAGAAATGCGTGGGCAAGGCTGGTAACTTGTGAATCTCGCAGATTGACAGTCGAACGTGCGCGTGCGAAGATCGCGAGGCTCGTGTTCCGGAGATTTCATGACGCCGCAAGGGACATTCCACACGACGGCCAGGACCCAACCACAGCCATCCTTGACAGCCCTAGGGGAGAAAGGGCGTTAAGGACAGGGAGACCAGGGCACGAGACTGAAATTCAGCCATCCTGGATAATTCAGATTGCGTGATCAACGTCCTGGGCCACGTTCAAGATTGAGGACCATTCGAATACCTGTGCGTCCAGGTGCGTAGTAATCGGCGACTTGTTCCCGTTCTTCAAAACCACACCGAGCGTACAGCGCTCGGGCCGGGTGTCTGTCTCTGTCAACCCAGAGCTGGATGTACTGACAGCCCTCCTTCTGGAGCCGTTGTTGAATGTATTCGAGGAGTCTTTTCCCAATCCCCCTTCTGCGGTGCGGTTCTGTGACACAGACCTTGTGCAACAGAGCGGCGCCCTTCTGCCGAACATAAACGGCATAGGCAACTAGGGTTGAAGGAGCACCAGCTGGCGAGGAAGGGGTATCCATCGCGTAGATGACTCGCGTGTTCGGCTTCTTCCTCCATAGATCGGCACTAAAGTCAAAGGCTTCGTTAGAGGGGAAAGTCTTCTTCTCGACGCGTGCGATCCGCGCAAGAATGTCAAGAGCCTCATTTTGCTTCAAGGAATGAATATCCGCTATGACCAGGCATTCAGCCATGGCTCCAGCCTCCAAGTGGAAGTCTAGAAACCTGTGGAGAAATTCCACTGTATGTCAGTGCTTCAAAGAGAAAGGGTTAAGACATTATTAAGCAGCAGGTTGTTTGCATTGAATCGGGGCACAAAGAAGTTCCCGGGGGAACGTTGGTAGCGTCAGAACCTTTCGACCTCCGCGGACCCCCGCAATCTACTAGCTAGCTGCAGACAACTGCTTTAATCATTGGAACAACATACTACACATCTAGGACATTGGACTTTCTTACTCCGTACATTGTCAGTTGAGATTCAATACACATACGGTTTGGCAATCAGAGCCAAATTGGAGGCGTAATGCCATCGCAACAAGACGAGAAGCGCCAAGCGGCGCGTGAAGTAATTGACATTCTTCACGAAATATCACAACTACTCGTACGTCTCCGACCCCCTTCCCCTCTCAACAAAAAGCGCTTGCCATTGAAAGTGGAAACTAAGAGAATTTTTTCTATGCCTGTTTAGAACACCCATCTCGACCGAACCGAGCTCTCTTTGTGTGTCTCTCTCATTGAAAACGGAGTCAATCCCGACGCGCTTGCCGTACGTCATTTTGCGGGTTTCCCACTACTATTTTTTTCGTTCGTGAACAAGACGCTAATGCTGCTCGGGGTCGTTTTTCAGGCCGTTATTAAAGAGTTGCGGAAGGAGGCTGCAGCTGCTGAGGGAGCTATCAATGGCTGAGCGGTGCCGGAATAGATACACCATTCCGTTGTCTCCGATGCTATAATGGGCTTAATAATCCGTGGTATATGGCAAAAGGGGATCCTGGCGTTCGGTGTTTTCTGTTTATTATATCACGCTTCTGCGATTACAAGATACCCCATATGGACGTTGAAGGCGTACATTCGATTCTACAATTCAATCGGCATACACTATACGATAAATGGGCAAGAAACCCATGTAATGCTTCCTCACACATCAACCGCCGGACTCTTCCGGTTTCTACTCATGACCCTGAATTAAGCGCCGGGAAAACATGTGTTGAACTCGAGAGAATGACAATAGGAAATGGTGGATTTCTGCACGGAAGGGATATCTCATATTGGAAAAGCAGCCAATAACATACAGTCTGATTAACATCCGGTACTCTATTATTTCCCTGCAGCCTTGTCTCCGGCTTTACTGTCATCCTTTGAGCTGGATCCGAGGTCTGAGGCCGACGTGGCTTTCTTTGCATGATCCGTCTCATCTACACCGAGATCCTTCTTCTTGAAATCTCCCTCATCTTCGCTATCGCCGAGGCTGAAGGGATCATTGTCCCCCACAGGGGACGGTTCCACCGTAGACAGAGGCTGCCATTTGCTCGACTTGCCTCCGGTCGATGGTGTGCGTTTCGTTGACTCCGGAGCGTCGTACAGATTATCAATTTCTTCCGGTGGGCCTTGCTGGAAGGCCACCTTTCTCCGTTCTTGAGAAGATGCAGATGTCCGGTAGAGATTGGGGTTCGCGAGCGGACGCGTGGGACGAGGTGGAGCAGCTGCCGTGTGTTTTAGTATCTCTACTCTTACAACAAGACCTAGCCGGAGTCACAAACCTTCTGCGTCTCTTAACTCCAAAGCAGAGAAGTCATCGCTCAGAACCTGAGGATCAGCATCATACCGTTCACGGTCACCGCTGCGACGGGCTGAGTCGCCGCTGCGCCTGGGTCGGTTGTAGCCCTCTCCATATCCTTGACCGTAGCCTCCCGAGGAACGAGGCTCATCATCGTCGCCTTCGAGTTTCTTCTTGAAATTCTGCACCCAAGCGTTCACTTTCGACTGGGTCTCCAAGAAGCCCTTGCGGATATTCTCGCGGATTACCGGTAAGTCATCTTCAATAGGGCATTAGCAATCGAAGAACAAAAAGCCGTCAAGCGGATCTGCGTACCCTCGAAGAAATTGTACTCTCGTTCCTCCTCATAGTCATCTTGTCTTGGCCTTGAGCCTCTCCAAGTCCCTTCTCCGCGACGCGCGGACGCACTGTAGTGTTCAGCCAGCTGACGAGCATACCTCTCATCCTCTTCCAGTTGTTTCTGTGTCGTAGATGTAGCTGGATATGACGGCCGCGGTGGTTTGGGTGGCGGGAGATCTTCCTGCGCTTTGGGATCCGTCATGCCTGTATTCAGTCAGCAGACGGACCACCAGGCTTGTAGACCAGGTCTGACTAACCAAGCAGTGCATGGAAAGATCGTTCGATATTGTAGTCACTAGCTGTCAAGACTGCCTTAATTACCGCCGCATCTACAGTAGGAAACGCTTCTTTGAGCGTGTTCTCCGCTTGCTGCCGCGGAGTTAACGGACGAGGAGGCTTGGGCGGGGGAACTTCTGTTTCCGTAGAGGTGACACCGATCTCTTGAGGTTCATCATCAAAGTCTAGTGGCCGTGCCGTTGTCGGGGATTCAGGATTCGAGTTTCCTCCTCCCGACGTCTTGGTAGGCGTGCCCTGCGGGGGAGTCGGGTTAGCAACTGTCAGTCACCACGGGGCCTTGAGACTGCCGTACAATCTTCCCTTCGTCAGCCATGGCGGCCACTACCAGATGACTGCTGTGATGCTATAGCGACAAGAATAGAATTCTCCCTGCGATCTTGAAGAGATGAGTAAAGATTGCAGCGGCTAACAATAATGTGAATGCCTATTCTTCGCCGCCAGCACCGCCCAAACAGTCGCAGGTAGCTGCAGCCTATCACAGAAGACTGCAGGTACGAACTAACTCTTAGTCGCTTTCTTGCATTGACACCGCTTTTCGCGCCACACGTGGCCTGCACCGCCACACCCGGCTGCGGAGGATCCCTTACGTAAGCGGTCCTCGATGCAATTTGCCTGTCGGTGGAACAGCAGCTGGAAGCCACCCACAAGCTCGTGGTCAAAGAAGTCGAGGCATGACATGTTTCGACTCCATTCGGTGCTGCGCGTATTTCGAAAATGAATCGCAATTGCATCGAATCACCCCATGTACTTTAGGCATTCAATGATCAGCACCTCGGAGCTTCCAATGGTCACCTGCATTTAATAGTGCAGTCCAAATGGCTGAGGACTTTGATCTCTCATCGACCTTCATTCCCTCACTATATAAGCCGGCTGCATTGCTCCCGATTGCCCGTCACAGAGAGAGCTTGTTGTATCTCATCGAGACATTTCCTGTCACGATCGTCGTCGGGCAAACTGGGAGCGGGAAAACCACGCAGCTGCCGCAGTATCTCGACCAAGCAGGATGGACTGCGGATGGCAAAGTCATTGGAGTGACTCAGGTATGTCCAGTAGCGCGACCTAGGCTGTTCAGGTTCCATCTCGAATGTTTTCCGCTGTGGAGATGACGGCGAGCTAAGCAAGATTTAAATTACAGCCGCGGCGGGTGGCCGCGACTACCGTTGCCACGAGAGTGGCAGAGGAGATGCGCTGCAAGGTAGGGGAGGAGGTGGGCTATTCCATTCGATTTGAAGATGTCACATCCGCCGCGACGAGGATTAAATTCCTCACGGACGGGATGCTGCTTCGAGAGGCGCTCGTTGACCCTCTCCTTTCTCGGTACTCGGTCATCATGGTGGATGAGGCCCATGAACGATCGCTCAGTACCGATATTTTGTTAGGTCTTTTGAAGAAAATTCGAAGGAAAAGGCCTGAGCTCCGCGTTGTAATCAGCAGTGCAACCCTGCAGGCGGAGGACTTTTTACGCTTCTTTGCGGGCGATGAAGTCCATTCTGGAGGAGATGGCAAAGAAAGCGGCAGTGACGTTGGCCGTATTATCAGCCTGGAGGGCAGGATGTACCCTGTTGATATCCTTTACCTAGAAAGTCCTACTGAGGACTATGTTGAACGAGCCGTCAAAACAGTTTTCGACATACATACTCAAGAAGCTGAAGGGGATATCTTGGTATTCCTAACGGGTCGCGAGGAGATCGAGAGTACAGTACAGATGATCTCCGAGCGAGCTGCGATGCTTCATCCAAAAGCTCCAGCTTTACTCCCTCTACCCCTTTATTCGGGTCTTACGAGCGAACAACAACTTTATGTCTTCGAACCTGCCCCGGAAAACACGCGGAAAGTTATCGTCTCGACAAATATCGCGGAAGCCTCTGTCACCATCGATGGCATTGTTTACGTAGTTGATTGCGGGTTTGCGAAACTCAGGGCATATAACCCGCATACCGGCATTGAGACTTTGACTGCGGTCCCAATTTCGAAAGCATCTGCTACCCAGCGTGCTGGACGAGCTGGACGAACGAAACCCGGTAAATGCTTTCGACTCTACACCCAGCAGTCTTACGAGATGCTGCCAGAAACAACAGTTCCTGAAATACAGCGTTCCAATCTGGCCCCTGTCGTCATGCAGCTTAAGGCGCTAGGTATCGATAATGTTGCGCGCTTTGACTTCCTAACACCTCCTCCAGCTGAACAGGTCATCCGAGCCCTGGAATTGCTATATTCCCTAGGTGCGGTAGACGACTACGCTAAGCTCACTAAGCCGCTGGGACTGCGCATGGCGGAACTTGCGGTTGAGCCGATGATGGGCAAGGTCCTGCTCAGCGCGCCCTCCTTTGGTTGTGTGAGCGAGATTCTTTCGATCGCTGCTATGGTCAGCTTGCAGGGTTCCGTTTGGGTGCAGCATGAAGGTGACAGAAAGGCAACCGAGAGTGCTCGCAGAAAATTCGCCGTTGAGGAAGGCGATCACCTCACCTACCTGAATGTATACCAGGCATTCGTTACAAAGGGGAAAAAGGACCCCAAGTGGTGCCGCGACCACTATTTGAATTACAGATCCCTGCTGCGAGCAGTGAGCATTAGGTCTCAATTGAAACGATACCTTGAGCGATTCGGGATACAAGTCGATGAAAGCCTTTCTTCCAGTCATCGACAAGCAGATCTTAGCAAGCAACCCGAGCAAATTCGACGTTGTCTTACAACCGGTTATTTCGCCCATGCTGCCAGGATGCAGCCTGATGGAACTTTCAAGACAGTGAGCGGAGGCCTCACGCTCCATGCCCATCCCAGTTCTTTGATGTTTGTATGTGCCAAGCTCTTTTTTTCCCCTTTATCGTTTTGTGGCTGAGGAAAGTCACACTGATGAATGTTCTCGACAGAATCGTAAAGCAGACTGGGTCATCTTTCACGAAATCCTTGAAACGGGAGATAAAATATTCATCCGCGATATAACGAAGATCGAGAAAAACTGGCTACTCGAGTACGCGCCGGATTACTACAGAGTGAGCTAGGTTCTGTGGGAGGTTAATAATATCGATACCATATGAATTGATGTAATAGATCCTCGCATACTGCAATTGTAGAATCAACGAATAGATTTGATTGACATAGAAAAAGTGCATAAAAACGCATAGACATGTAGATGTCCAATTCAATTTGGCATGTGATTGGAGCTCTTGCCTGTTTGAGACAGACAAGACGTCAGTGGAAAGCACGTGTTGCAGACGGACTTTGGGCAGCTGCCACCCGTTTGGATTCCGGCATGTGGAGCAGACCCAATAGCCAAACTCAAGTAAAGCCATAGTTCTCATCATTTAATCATGGCCCTGCGATAAACCTCTCTGTAGCCTTCAAGATGTCAGGACATAATCACCATGACCACCACGGTCATGGTGGCCACTGCCATGGACATGGAGACGACGGCCATGATCACTCCAACGACCTTACCCCAGCTATTCAGTCGCTTTTGTACTCTCAGATCCAGTTTGATACAATCATCACCTTGAATGGTATGTCTCATTCCCTTTAAAACCATCAATAGTTACGTCAATATGGCTCTTATTGATCATTTTGCATCCAATGAACAGAGAAAGTTCCCCGATCTGGAGCTGCTATTGTTCAAAAGACATGGGCTGAGAGGCTGAATGAGCATCCTGAACTGGAGAGCGATGCTGATGAGCAGCTGCTCATGTACATCCCGTAAGTGAACTGTTCTCTTTGCCTTTGCGGTTTCTGCAACTCGCCCAGCTTAACCTGCGATTCTGCCCCGCCGTACCCCGCATCCATGTTTCGTGCCGTATCACATTGTCAACGATGGTGAAAACACATACAAGGAAATCGCGCACACTGATTCTATATGTATAGCTTGGCTGACCTGTGGAAACTCGAAAATTGAACAGATTTGCGGGGCAAGTGAAGCTCCACTCCATACTTATATATACAGCTCCAACTCCAGCTGCTCCAAAGACCCTCAAGCTCTTCAAAAACCGCGCTGATTTGGATTTCTCTACGGCGTCAGATCTCGCCGCTACACAAACGATTGAGGTGCCCCAGCCAGTACCGGCATCAGACGTCTTTGAGTTGCCGCTGAACCGAGCATTGTGGAATACGACTACCTCGATCACTCTCTTCTTTGAAGATAATTGGAGCGGAGGTGATGAGGAGACCACCAAGGTCGGATACATTGGATTCAAAGGACAATTCATGGCATTGAATCGTGAGCCGGTGAGCGTGCTCTATGAAGCGGCGGCCAACCCCAGTGACCACGTTGCTATTCAAGGTGTCGAGGGCGTGGGTGGACGAATTATGCCGGGACAGTGATATTCTTGAACAAATAGCAGCCATGAAAGTTGCAGAATGGAACATGCAATTTTTTCAGACTGGCTATACAATAGTGGAATAATATCGTTTGCACGTGTATATTTAGTATAGTTGCCTGTGCAGCCGGAAAGTTATGAAGGATAAAAACAAAAACACGGAGCTGTTCGCAGAACAGTACTAATACTCCACATAAGAATAGAAATATGAAAATCATTGTAACAACCGCAGGAGACTAGAACGTTAGTCAATATGTCAAACCGAAAAACGCCACCCAACGCCGATAATGCTTCGCTATGTATGTAGCTGAAACCTCCAAGAAGAGGGAGACAACATGAGACTCGATTCTTCCGGGGGCGCAAGTCAAGCTGCTAACTGCATGGCAGCTCGCTCTTGCGCTCTCGCCTTCGCTCTCGCTTTCGCCTTCTGTGCTTTCTCTTCCTCTGTTTCTTCAGGTAACGTGGCTGTAGGAGCATCGGGTAGATGGACGCCTTGAACCTCTCGTTCCAGGGCCTCGAGCTCATCCTCGACTTCGTCCTCATCTTGATTGGACATCTGACCAGCGAGCATGCGACTGACTTCCTGTATAGCCGTACTGACGTCAACATCTGAATCGCCAGGTTGCGCAAATTTAAAATGATGGTACCGACCTCTTGATATGCTCTGGCTTCTTTGGTCTCACCCATGAGTTTCTCTATTCCTTCTAAACCCCCAATCTCTTTCTGAATAGCCTGCAGGACTTTCGTCCCCTGTTGTAGCCCAAATACCACATCCTTCTGGACGAGCGCAAATTCGACTTGCGACGTCAGTTGCTCCAGTTGCGCCAGCTGCGCGTCGGTCTTTGCTAGTAGGGACTCTTGGTATTTCTTGCGACGGAGCGCCAGAAGTGCACGTCGACGGTCGTTACGCGCGAGACATTCCTTCGCAATCGCCGTTTCGCGATCTGTCAGAACAGTAATCCGCTTCTGGTATTGATGCAACTTGTCGCGCTGATTCTTCAAATCCAGGATAGCTCTGTTTCCTGTGTTAGAATGCCCAACTGAAAAGCGGAGTGGAAGATCACGGAATTCGACAAGACACGAGGCATCCAAAAATATCTGCCCCAGGGGTTGGATACGCATAAAGCAAAATAACTCACCTGTCCTGAGCGGTAATCTTATGGGAGCTGTTGGCGTTTCCCATTGTTGCAGCATTCTACCGGTTGTTAATGCGAGAAATGACGTCCTTCCCGTTGATAAAGCGGTGCGCCAGTACCGTACTAAGGTAAGGTACGGTATGGCTCGTGGAGCATATCGATAACCTTGGGCAACAGCCTTCCAAGGACCCACCCACAGTCCTTCGAGAGACCATCTTATCGCGCCTACTCATCTAAGATGTAAAAGATATAAATGATATTTTCAACTGATCATAAAGCAGTCTCTCATCTGGTGTAACGAGCAATTCAGAGGCACATGTTACCCGATAGTGAGGGTCAGAGATAGCGGCCGTCGGCCCTTCCATTCTTCCGGGTTGCCCCCGCGGTATCTCCAACAAAAAAATTGTCTCAAAACGGTCAATATCGAAAATCTCGTTAGGGAAAGACTTACATCCCCCGCGGCCCAACATGCCTGTCAGGCACCGTGGAGGCAGGCCTACTCTGAGCCAAGGCCTGGATCGAGAGGTAATTGATTCATATCTTCGTTGCAAATCAAATTGAAGCTTATTGAGTCCATTATCCGCAGATCTATCAAATTGTGCGCAAAATTGTGGACGAGCAACAGCAAGAAGGAGGCCGAATACGCCTTTCTACTCATGCGATCTACGATACCATAAAGAGATCCAATTCCAGTCTCAACCGGAAACCGAAAAGACTCCTCGAGGACAGCATTGAGCGTGTTTTGGAAGTGTTCCAAAGTGACGTTCTTGGAGATGGGGAGTCGGATTCAGTAGATGGGGATTTCGACGGCCTAGAAGAGGACAAGCCGGCTGTCACGGTATGCCTTTCTATCTCATCGCCTAACCATGGCTCTTAAATGCTGATTGCACAAGGACTCCAATAGCTTGAACAGAAGCATCGTAGGCATGTGGTCTACGTCTAAACCATCGCCCGCGCCCGCGAAAGGCAACGATTCCTCTACTGTGGAAACACCTGGACCTACGGCAACGGCAAACAAGAGACGCCACCATGCAGGGGAGTCGGTCGCCAAACGGCGCAAGGCAGATCATGCCATTGACAGATCCCCTCCGACCCACGTTAGCCTGGCAGATATCGGTGGAATGGATGATGTGATACAAGAATTGGGTGACCTCCTTATTTTACCAATGACCCGTCCTCAGATCTATTCTTCGTCAAAAGTACAGCCTCCACGAGGTGTTCTGCTGCATGGGCCCCCGGGATGTGGAAAAACAATGATCGCAAATGCTTTCGCTGCAGATCTTGGCGTTCCATTCATTTCTATATCAGCACCATCGATTGTGTCTGGGATGTCTGGAGAGTCAGAGAAGGCTCTTCGCGACCATTTTGAAGAAGCGAAAAAGCTCGCCCCGTGTCTAGTGTTCATTGATGAGATCGACGCAATAACGCCCAAAAGAGAGAGTGCCCAGAGGGAGATGGAGAAGCGAATAGTTGCTCAGCTTCTTACTTGTATGGACGATCTGGCACTCGAGAAGACGGATGGGAAGCCAGTCATTGTCCTTGCTGCCACAAACCGTCCTGACAGTTTGGATCCTGCCCTGCGGCGTGGAGGCCGATTCGACAAAGAAATAAACCTCAGTGTGCCGTCTGAGCCAGTGAGGGAGCAGATTCTTCGCACGCTGACGCGGAAGATGTCACTCGCTGATGATATTGACTTTAAGCTGCTTGCCAAACGGACCCCCGGTTTTGTGGGTGCTGATCTGAACGATCTGGTCTCCACCGCCGGCTCTGCCGCCATCAAACGCTATTTAGAGCTCTTAAGATCGAATACCACCGAGGAAATGGATATAGAAGAAGAAACAGAAGAAGATGCTAGTGCAAAAGTGAAGGAACTGCGTCGTCTCATCAAGCACGCTAAGGAGGCGCCCATCGGAGAAGAAGCGCAGCCGGTGTTGGTGTCGAATGCGGATTTCTTTGCGGCATTGCCGAAGATTCAGCCGTCATCCAAACGTGAAGGTTTTGCAACGATCCCAGACACAACCTGGGCGGATATTGGTGCTTTGGCTGAAGTTCGGGAAGAGCTTGTTACGGCCATTGTCGAGCCGATCAAGAATCCCGAAACCTATGCGAAAGTGGGCATCACCGCTCCCACCGGTGTCCTCCTCTGGGGTCCTCCTGGGTGTGGTAAGACGCTTCTCGCGAAAGCAGTGGCCAACGAGTCCCGCGCCAACTTCATCAGCGTCAAGGGACCTGAACTGCTCAACAAATATGTCGGTGAATCTGAGCGTGCAGTCCGGCAGGTCTTTGTCCGGGCTCGGTCCTCTGTACCCTGTGTCATCTTCTTCGATGAACTTGACGCCCTGGTACCCCGTCGTGACGATACTCTCTCCGAGGCGTCCGCACGGGTTGTCAATACGTTGCTGACGGAACTGGATGGTCTGGGCAGCAACCGCCAGGGGATCTATGTGATCGCGGCGACGAACCGTCCGGACATCATCGACCCAGCGATGCTGCGCCCAGGCCGTCTGGAAACGCTTCTTTTTGTCAACCTCCCCGGCCCCCAGGAGCGGGTCGAGATCCTCCAGACTCTGGTCCGAAAGCTGCCCATCGAATTTACCGACGACCTGCGCAAGCTGGCGGAGGATTGCGAGGGATTCAGCGGCGCCGACCTGGGCAGTCTGCTCCGCCGGGCCGGTTACTCCGCCATCAAGCGGCGCGACACGATCAAATTCGAGGACTTTGTGGCCGCCAAGGAATATATCCGGCCCAGTGTGACCGATATGAAGAAATACGAGAAGCTGAGACGGGATTGGAGCAGCGGTGTGCTGTGATGATCCACTGCACGAATCCTCATATCGTCTATACAACGGATGCACTCCGTACTCCGTACATAGATATTATTTCGTTCCTCTTGCTTTTCGTGTATATACAACATCGATAGATGGATTCATAGATACCGCCCCTGATTACAGCACCGTTCAAATAAAAAACAATATGTTCTTGCTTGAGAATGATTAAGACCTGGAGATGGACGTAAGAATAATAATAATTTTATTTTCCTTTTGATGGACCTGGTAACACCGACATACAACTTTTTGATCTATGAGGTACCTAACTAATGTATGTATATACAAAACGCCGCCGTGCTCATTTTTCCTTTTCCATGAGATGTAAAAAAAAGGAGACAGAAAGTAAACAAAAAGAATCACCATGCGAGATAAATTCCATACGGGTATTTTTCCCCCCCTCTCCCCTTTTTTGATCTAGCTACATGCAGTGAAGTACAATACAGTACAGTGCATTCAGAATACAATGTACTGTAAATGTACATGTACAGTATGCGTACTTGATTGATTACATTACATCCACAATCGACATGTTCCATCTGCACCAGCACTGACGCACCATGGCTGGGAAGGATGCCAGTCTACATCCAAAACACCCAGTTCGCCGGTGATCTTGTGTCCTCGGAGCACTTTCAGAGGAACGATGCTGGCGTTGCTGAGCATGTCGCCGGTGATGCTGCCGTGGAAAATCTGTAAAGAGCCGTCATCGCTGGCGTCCGCGAACAGCGGGTAGCGTCCGCTGGGATGGAACTTGACGGCACGGATGGCTTTGCGGTGGTAGCGCAGTGTCTTGTATGGTCGGGTCGAGAGGTCCAGGTCGTGCCAGAGCAGACGTCGGTCATACGAACCCACGATGATGTTGTCCCCTCCCGCGGTTGTCGACGAGGTCGGGTGCACGTCAAACGAGGAGATCCAGCGGGCACCTGGCTGCAGGATCTTGACCAGGAGCTGCCGTGACAGGTCATAAGCGCGGATGGTGCGTTGGTTGGCGACAAAGAGGATCGGTTTCGACGGGTGGAAGTGTGCTGTCTGTGGAGGTCCGCCACCTTTGATCCGGCGGCGGAAGGGGTATTGCGTGAGGTGCTTAGAGAGTGTGTGGATGGCGATGGCAGCGGAAGCCGGAGTCGAGGAGCCGGGGCAGACGGTGACAAAGTAGTCGCCGCGACGGTGCCACGAAATCGACTTGGCCACGTATCGAAGTGGAATCACAGCGCAGACACCGGATTCAGAGAGAGCTGCCGATGGCCGGATCCACTGAGGAGGCGTGATCTTGTTCGCCTCTGCAGCATTTAGTTTGGATTTCGTGGCAGCATACCCCCAACCGGCATCCAGCAGGTCGAGGCTTGCCTTCTCCAACTCTGGGTCCAAGATGGGGGGCACGGCGAGGAAAAGATCGTCACCAGCTGCAGCTGCGAGGACCACAGCGTCCTTGCCTGGCCGCCAACGTACCACGTTAACGGGATCCTCGTCACTCAACTTCACACTCCACACTTGGCGACCTGTGAGGAGCTCCCAGACCCGGACCGTTCCATCATCACCACCGCTGGCCAACCACAGCCCCGACGGGTCCACAGAGACTGAGCGCACACGCCCTTTGTGGCCTCTGAACAAAGTAGCACAAGCAGTCGGGAACGGTTTGAGCTCTTCAGGACTGGGAAGCTTGGGAAGTAAGCTCTCAGGATCGATGTTGAGCTTGTTTCTCCTAACTCTAGGAGCCAGATACAGGTCCAGACAGCGTTCGAATTTCTCTTTGACAAAGTTCTCGTAGCCAGGGACTTTGCGCAAGGAACCGTAGTCTGTCGGGAGGTATTCCTTTTCGCGGTCCTCCGGGTCCGCTTCCTCCCATGCCTTCCTCTCCTTCTTGGAGGGAAGATACTCGGGCGGCGGGTGGTAACTCTCGTCGTAGCCTGGCGGGGGAAGTTTGGGAGCCGGGATATGCATGATATGATCTTTCCTGGGCGTCTCATCGGCCCAAAGATCGTACTTGGCCACACCCTCATCTTCCTCCTCTTCAGAGGGAGGTTTGTAAGGGAGAATACGGCCTTCTCTGATGGCACGCACAATCTTCATGATCCGCTTCGCCTCATGCTTGGACGGGACGAAGCGCCGCTTGGGCTCGGGGGCTGCACTGAGGGGCATGATCTCTTGCTTGCTGGTGAACCATTCCACCATGGGCTCGTAGGGGTTGTAGCCTTCTTCAGGGATCTCATTCATCTGCACCTTGCGCAGCAATTCCAATTCGTCCTGGCTCAGCTCCAACGGCTTTCCGGTATCGGGATCCGTCAAGCCTGTCCAGCCCTTGGGGATCTCAATGCTATCCAGCAAAGCATCCAATGCCTCCCCCTTGGCCGGGCGCATGATCTTCCTCCCATTGATGTCGTATCCAATGTGAGGGTACTCGTCGTAGAAGGAGAGGGGGATGTTGCCAATGGTGTTGGCATTCTCGTCGAAATCGGAGTATTCCGAGTTGTCATCAGGGTTGATCTCGTCGTATACGTAGCGGACGTTCCCATTGGCATCTTTTTCAATGCGATAATTGGGCTTGTCGTCCTCATCGTCCGACTCGTCTGGCTGATCCCGGCCTTCGTTTCGTTGGTCGACGTCGCTGGTAGACTTTGCATTTTTCCTCTTCAGACCACCTTGTTCCTCCTTGTCATCTTCCTCCTCCGAAGGAATCTCGTCGCTATCGAGCTCATCGTCATCCGCATCCCGGTCGCTGAACTCGTCGACGATCTCGACCTCCGAGTCGCTCTCTTCGTCCTCTGACGGGGACTCAGCTCCATCGGAGAGGCTCCCATCCAGGTCTGCAGCATTCAGCTCGTCGCCGGACACCACGCCGGCTTCTTCCTCCTCGACATCCCTCGTCACCGCCTTGCGCTTCTTCGATGCCTTCCTGGAATCCATCTGGACAGGCGCTGGCCGTCAGACTCCAATGGTTCTCGTCTGCTCTTTTTTGTCTTCGGTGCGCCAAGATTGTCGAATCTTCAAACATTTTCTGTTCGTCTGCGCTGACCGCCCACGTGACTCACCGCCTGCTGGATCCAGCCGGCAGCTATCTCCTGCTTGGCCCCGCCGCCGAAGTGCTTTCTTTTTGCTGGTCTGGACTGTGTCTTCGCCAACATTCTCCTTCTTCCTCGCCTTGGTCAGTGCCAGAGCTCGCTAGCCTGACGCTGCGACGCAGTCGAGCCCGCCAGACGCCCCATCACTTGGCTTTTGCCCAGACTCAACCTGCCTGTTGTGCCCTCTCGTTCCTGAGCTCGAATTCTCCGGTCGCCGGGTCTGGCCCAACCTAATCGCCGACAGTAAGGCTCCCTCCGTCAGACTTCTCTAATCATCCCGTCCTGTCTCTCACCTCCAACTCCCACCCCCCTTTCATCAATCAGTCCATCATCTCCTCGAAAATAGAGCGCCCTGCTCTTGTCCCTGCCTCTTCTCCTCCTATTACTCCCGTCTTCCTCCTCCCTGCCCCAACACGACCTGGTGTCGTTGCTCGTTGTATTACTGTCTCGCCCTGCCCTGAGCACTCGACGGGACCGCGGTCGGGGCTGACTCCCTTGTTTTCCAGCCAGCCCCGCCTTAACCATTGCATGCGAGCATCGCGGAATCCCAGAATTCCGTGACCTGTCGCTGCATTTTGGCTTTGTAGATGAAGCGCATTGCGTTCTGTCGTCCATATGACTCCCAGTCCTCCAGATGAAGCTATCCATATCCGTGGAAAGACCCTGACTCCCGAGAGTCCACGTCCGCTCCACGTCCCGGAGCCATCCAATATCCCGCTGCTGCAGAATCAGATGGATCCGGCCTTCGACGATACCGCGACACATGAGGCAGAGACGCCCGAGCCCAGTGAAGACCATATGCAGCTGTATCAGCGTGCTCCGGAGGATGGGTCATTTCCAGGACTAGTCAATGGCGGGAACAATCATGATGGTGGTGCTACCGGTGGTGGAAATGATGAGGTTGATGTTGACCATGGGGTGGGATCAGGCCCAGTGCAGGGCCAGAAAACAGGTAGCTTCCACTCTGAACCTTTACAGATGGATGGATCAGATCGATCGATCCACACGAATGAGACTTGTCTTTCGACGGCTGCATTTTCATCGAACGATGCGTCCTCGGCGATGTCGGAGCCGGCAGTACAACCTGCTCTAACCACTCTTCCTTCAGATCCTCCTCAACCTCCTCCTCCCCCTTTAGATCAGCACCAAGCCACCTTCCACAATCCCTCTCAAGCCTCCCATGCGGCTCTCGACTCTGCCCCCTATCAGCTAGGGTCCTTTGCGAACGAGGTAGATACTGCAACAGGTCCCAAGTCGACGCAGCCAACGGCGCCTGGTGATGACCTACAGGTCGGGGATGGCAGCAAGGACACAGCTCCCAGCGCGGCCGAAGATGGCGTCGATTTCCAGAATCTCCTCGATAATCTTACCCCGTCTGCCTCGGCAGCTCCGTCCGACCCAGCTGTCGCTGCTACGGCCTCATCCCCTGCGGGCGACTCCACCCTTCCTCAATCCGCAGCAGATAGCTCTCTGCCAACCCCTGCTGGCCTTCCCCCGCGACCTCCGCCCCAGGAGAAGCATTCCATTCACCCCAATTATGCACCCAGCGATGATATTCGTTCCTATCATCAGCTTCCTTCTCAGAATACCAATACCTCTGCCACCGCCTCCTACGCGCCACAGCAGAGCAATAATTACCAAACAAATAATGCTGGACTCTCACAGCTGGTAGCAGCGGCTCCTGGTACTGCTCCGGGCACGTCGTCGGGTGCGAATGGCTTACCGCCGCCTCCAGGAGCGACTTTTCAGCAACAACAGCAACAGCAACAGCAATCCCAGCAATCTCCTGTGACGCCCCAAGAAGCTTCGACGCAGTCGAGTCAGAAGGGCACCAGGCTGGAGAGATACAATGGCAGGCAATCGCAGGCCGGAGATGATGAAGCTCCCTGGCCACCCGAAATCCAGAAGAAGTATGACGAATTTCTTCACGATGAACGGGTTTATGTCACTGAAGGTCACTGGGATCGCTTTCCACCGGGTTCCAGACTGTTTGTTGGTTAGTGCATCTCCCCTGGTAGTCGTTGGGCATTCCTCTTCTTCATGGAGCTGACGAATGAGTTTAGGGAACCTGCCTACGGAACGAGTGACAAAAAGAGATTTGTTTCATGTCTTCCATAAATACGGGAAACTCGCGCAGATTTCTATCAAGCAGGCTTATGGTTTTATCCAGTTCTTCGACGCTAATTCTTGCTACGAAGCTCTTCAAGCAGAGCAAGGAGGAGTGGTGAGGGGCAGGAAAATACGTAGGTTACCTATCTGAGAAAATTCGGAGTCCTTGAGGACCGCTTCGGCGGTGACTAATTTCATTACAGACCTCGAGATATCGAAACCGCAGAGGAACAGTCGCCAAGGACCTCCGCCACCCGAGCCTCCCCGTGCTTCCGCGTCAAGACGTTCTAGATCACCTGAATATGGTCGTGGCGGAACAGGAGGTGGCCGAAGCACACGGTCCCAGGGAGGAGACCGCCTTGACCGGTCTTACGATTCGGGAAGGCCACCTTTTAGTGACTTCAGAGACGAACCTGGGCCTCGCCGTCGTGACGATTATCGCCCCCCACGGTCTCCTTCTCCTCGCGGCTTCAGGGGCCGAGAAGAGTATCGGCCTCGGGATCGATCGCCCGACAGATATCGGCGGCGGTCAAGATCTCCATATGGAAGAGACCGACGATACAGGAGTCCCAGCCCCCGGGGACGAGCGGGGTATGACAGCGATTCAGACCTCCCGTTCCCGCGACGTGCGCCAAGGGACGTACCGGATGTGCAGATCATTGTCCTGGATGACGTTGAAAGGTAAGGACGACAGAGTTTTCTGAAGCTATGTTGAGCCGGACTCTGACAAGACACTCCGTGCAGGAACTTTATCTTCCATGTTGAAAGCGCGTTTAAGAATCGAGGTCTTCGAATCGACGTGTTGATGCTGCCTCCCCGGGTTTCTCTTTCTGCAACGGTTCAACGTCAGATCAATGAAGGAGTTCTCGCGGTTGTTAAACTTTCTCGAAGCAACCAATACTCCGGGAAAATCCCGTTGCAGGTATTTGACCGCAGTGGGGGAGCGGGCAACGTTCGCTTTAATGGTACGTAACTTTAATTCTGTTTCGTCACCGTCCGCTGGAAGAATCACGTTCTAATCAGTGTTGATTCAGAATACTCTGAACTCGAATTGAGTGTTGCGGCGGAAATGGCCGTTCACGCCCAGTCCCTGCAACGGCCTGGTGTCAACCCTCCTGTTTACCCGCCGAATCCGGCCTTCCCTGCTGCCTCTCAGTTCCCTCAAGCGCAGCCGCAACCACAGACTGCTGTTCCGGCTCTTTCGAATCCCAGCCAGATCGCCCAGCTCATCTCGAGTCTGGATGGACCTACACTTCAGTCGTTGTTGGGAGCTCTTCAACAGGCGCAGACGGCCCCGCAGCCCACGCAGCAGCCGTTTCCTGCTACGCAAACCGGCAATCCTGTCGATCTTGCAAGTCTGCTCAGCAACGCGACTCGTCAGCAAAATCAGATGCCACCTGTTCAGAGTCAGCCACCGTCCCAACCGATCCCTGCGCAGCCATTTGGCATGCCGGTGCAACAACAACAGAACGCCTCTGTTGTTCCTGATCCCAATTTGATCTCGCTTCTGGCCAAGGGTCTCGGCGGTGGAAAGCCACCGCAGAATCAGGCAGCAGTTGCCCCTCAAGTGCAGAACATTGTGAATCAGCTGGCGAAGTGGAAGCAGTAGATAATTCTTCTCCTAATTACCCTGCCTTCCTCCACCGGAGCCTCTTGGGAACGTGGTGTTTGATTCCCCGAAACGTAACCGGTTGCATTGTTTTTCTCAGGGCGTTTTTTTATTTGTTGTTTTTTTACCCAGCATCTCTATTCTTGCTTGAAGCAATAATTTCTCATGGAAAGCTGTTTCCGGTTATGTGTCAAAGGAGGGTTCACGGCGAAACGGATTCCATCGAAGACAAGGAAATGGTTGATTTGGCCTGCAGCTTTTCTTTGAACGTACGGATGGTTTATCCGTTTTTATTATTTTCATCTTTGTTTTTTTTCTTTCATGGGTTGTTGGACATAACGTTTCGCTTGAGTGGCGAATGAATATAATACATCATAGTACGTGATACCAGTCCACAGAGCTGTTTAGCAAACCCATCGATCTTGCAATATATGATACAAGACGCCAGCTCGGCCAAGCTAGCTATATCCCTCCTTTTAACTCCATAACGATGCATTCTGGTTTCTCCGCTCCCATCTATGTCTCATCTTCCCTCCGTATGTGATCAGCCTTGCGCCCGCTGAGCCTTGAGCTCGGCTACCTTGGCTGCATCTTCTTGCTTTATCCGTTCGATGGTCTTGTCTCTGTTGTACTCCATTACTCGCTTCTCTTTAAAGTATTTGACCTAAGTACATCCCAATTTCACCACGAGTCAGCATACTTTCGCGCAGAGAACAGGAGCAAAGAACGCACCCAAGTCTTTGAACATGCCGACTCAAACTCTGCAATCTCCTTGCCGCACTTCTTGCGGGCATCCGCGTCATTTTTGATGGCGTCGAGAATGTCGTTTCGATCCAGGCACTCGAAGAACAGGTCTCGCGAATTGTAGCACTGTTCCCGGGAGGACCGGTCGGGTGCAATGCGCCCACCATCCGATGCCTTGGCGGACTTTGGTCCGTCAGACGAACCAAAGGAAAACCAACCCATTTCTCAGATCTGCGTTGTCTATAGTTCGAACGGTATGGCGGAAGTTTCGGACTGATTCTTGGAATGCAAGTCCGAAACCAGCTCGATTTGACACTAATTTCGGTTCGTAGGACTGCGATCGATAGGGAGATGACCGGTGAAACAGCAATTGGGCCACTCTCCGCTCCTGCAATAGATTGTTCCGGCTCGCAGCACTTGCGCTGAACACCTCGTCTTGCTATGTTGAAAGCGAACTCAATCGCTGCGATCTCTCCGCGTCTGTCGCGGCTGTCGGCGGTCCTCCCGCGGCAAAAGGCTTGGCATCGGAGCTGGCGTGGACTCTCGCCGCCTCGTTTCCCTACCTAAAGTTCGGAGTATGCGTGTGTTTCTGCCGCCTTCATGTTTGTTGATACCATTGCTGGAGCTTGAATGGGCACGAGATCTCCGTTAATGGATCAATAGACGTTCTATTTGGTTGTCTGGCAGCGTCATATCGTCACCGCCTCTATTTCGATCCGAGTGCACTTTCGCTTTGCTGGAACGGATCAGGAACGGAACTGCTGCGCTGCGGATTGGGTCTACACATTCCCAACTTCCACGACCAGAGGGATGCTTTGTTCCCTTTGCAAATGATAAGACGATAATCTTCAGCAGTCTTCTCGGAGGGGGTGTCTTGAGGCCATTGTATCGGTGCTGACTCTTCACCGAACACACTCCCGAGCCCGCTCATTACGCATACGATTCAGCGACTGCTGCTACGACTGTTTATTTGATCTGAACTCCATCCGTCATTCTGGTTCATGCCCCCGCGGCGGCGCCCTCCTCGTCCCGGGGCTCTGACAGATCTTCCGCCTCTGAAGATCGTCAGGAAGATTGTCCTGCTTCAGCTCCTCTACTATGTCTGTGCGACCGTGCTCATCCTCTTCACCACCCTTGTGGCTGGAACAGTATTCTCGGTGGACCTGATCTTTAGCTGGGACAGCCTAAGAGGCGACACGACGGTAGGATGGATGCTGAGCTTGGTGTGGATGCTAAATAGCTTCCTCTGGTAAGTACTCTGTAGTCCTTCACCTACCTCCGCACTGGATCTGTTTACGCCTCTTCCATTTTCACATTCGCCTCCGGCCATCCATCTCTTTAAATTCCTCGTTGTTTGGATATCTGCTGACTGCGTTTTTCATTTATAGTGTCATCTTCCTTCTTATCATCGTCTCCCGATCGAAACTCGTCCCGGACTTCGCTCTCACGCTACACTTCATCCACTTTGTTATCGTGTCATTTTACACTCATACAATCCCTGCCAACTGGCTGTGGTGGGGTCTACAATTATCCAGCGCCGCCTTGATGACCTTTGTCGGAATCTGGGCCTGTCAGAGAAGGGAGTTACAACCGATCACGTTTGGACTCGGTGGAGGAAGTAGCAACACCACCACTGGCAGTGGCACTACAGCAAACGGTACGGCCTCCCAGTCTGCCGGGGACGGACCGCCATCTTCTCGGCCAAACCCCGACGTGAACGACCCTGAGAGCGGCCAGCAACAACTCCCAGGGATCTCCCGTGGTCGGGGGCGAGGCCGTAATCGTGACGGCGGCGGAGACTATGAGATGGTTCCGATGAAGGACGTCGAAGAGGAGGCTGTATGAAAATAGACCATTGTCTTTCGATCCTTTTGTTCTATCTATCCATTTCATGACGGATGTCCCTTTTAGATATTGTGGTCACTTTGGTCGCTTTCTTTTCACGTTTCCTTGTGTATATATACCCATTATTTATTATGATTATTGTACCTCATTGTCTATTACTACTTCCATCACTTACTCTGTCAATAATCCGTGCATGGTTCAGCAGGAATATTGGGGTCTTTTTCATTCTAGGCATTTGGTCACAATTGTTGCTAGGCTACTCTATCAACGAGACGGCGAGTATCCGATTTTCCCTTATGTAATGGAATAGTGGTAGGTTCCTATCCGGGGCAATGGAAGCACATTGAATCGTGATAGATTGCCTCGGAATTATCCCAGGAAGAGTGTTTCAATGCCTTAGGTAAGCTGTTATGATGAACTGGGATTCTTCCCTATCAACTGAGCAACAGGGGCTGCACGTGGGAATTAGCCATTTTGCAGGGACGTACTCAAGGATGGAAAGCTTTAGCCACATTTTCTGGCGGCCATTGAGACAGATACGTAATATTAATACGGTGTGATCTCAACCAACGCGATAACGCCAAACCCCGCGCCGGTGAGGGGAAAGAACACGAGATCGCCCAACAACAGGCCGACGACCGGAGACAACGTCGTTGATCCCTCAACTGAGAATCGACCCATTACACGGACAAAAGACCCGACTTCTCTTATCTTTGGCTACTCCGAACCCAGCCGTTTGGTTCCCCGACCTTTTATCTATCTCAGGGACCCAAGGTTCAATAATGGGCAGATCCCAAGTCCTCAATCAGGAAACTCTCTCTTTCTCTGCGTGGCCCTGCTGGAGAACCTCCCCAATTGCAGGCCACTGACACCAGGTCCGTTTATCAGCTCCCTCCGGCCCCAAAATGAAAACTATCTGCGACCTATTTATTGCCTATTTCAATTTGTCACGCCTGGACCGGTGGGGTTGGTCTTGGAAGGATTCTGTACCCTGAAAGGCTAATGGGGGAAACACCCGATTAGAAGAAGAAACTAATGCGAGAGACGCAAACGAGATAGATATATAGTTACATCGCCTGCTGCCACTAGATTTCACGGAGACGACTCCTTCCCTGCCTTGAAACTCGTCCAATCCTGGATTGTTGCAAGTTCATCCAGTTAGGGATAAAGGTGTCAACACCATTGGAGAGATCAGAGTTACAGTTAGTACTATTTCTTCGCTGATCGCTGCTACTATACACCTCTTATCTACAGTATATATATAATTCTGATACAACAAAATGGCTAACTGGGAACAAATCGCCGCGGACAAGCGCGCTCGAATCGACAAGTCCATTCCTCCGGAATGGAAGATCCAGAACAAGCCCGAGGGGGATTCGTTTTTCGACTTCCCGGCCAAGAGTGGGATCCTCTCCGAGAAGGAGCTGGAGATCACGAACATGCCAGCAACAGAGCTGGTTGCTAAACTGGCCAGCGGAGAGCTGAAATCGGTCGATGTGACGCTGGCATTCTGCAAGAGGGCTGCGCTGGCTCATCAGCTGGTTCGTTTCTAGACAGCAATCAATGTGCGTGGTGTTCGTTTGCTAAGGAAAGTGTGTCCTGTAATATAGGTGAATTGTGCCCTGGAGTTCTTCCATGAAGCGGCTTTGGCACAGGCAAAAGAGCTGGACGAGTATTTTGAGAAGAACAAGAAGCCTGTCGGACCGCTTCACGGTCTGCCTATCTCTCTAAAGGACCAATTCCGCATCAAGGTGGGACCATCTCACGAAGCCCGTGATGCATTGCTATATGAACGATAGATGGTGATGCTAATTGCATTGTCCGCTTCCAGGGCATTGAAACCTCGATGGGATATGTGGCCTGGCTGGGCAAGTATGAGACCGAAGAGTCAGTCATGATCACCCTCCTGCGCAAAGCGGGTGCCGTGTTCTACGTCAAGACCAGCGTGCCTCAGACACTGATGGCCTGCGAGACGGTCAACAACATCATTGGTCGGACGCTGAACCCTCGCAACAAGAACTGGTCTTGCGGTGGCAGTTCCGGAGGCGAGGGAGCCAACGTTGGCATTCGAGGTGGCATCATCGGTGTGGGAACCGACATTGGTCGGTCTAAGCAAAGCCTATCTATCATGGCCGACGAAAGGAGCCTTGCGCTGACATAGTCTGTGTGGAATTTATCAGGTGGCTCCATCCGTGTACCCTCTGCATTCAACTTTCTGTATGGTATCCGACCAAGTCACGGCAGGATGCCGTACGCAAAGATGGCCAACAGCATGGCGGGCCAGGAATCCGTCCAGAGTGTGACGGGACCGATTGCCCATTCCGTTCCAGGTGAGGATCTGCCATTGATTTTGCTCTGCAAGAGGTGGCAGCTAATACTGATCAATTGTCTGTTAGACCTGAGATTGTTCCTCACTGCAGTCTTGGCCCAGGAGCCATGGAAGTACGACTCCAAAGTCATCCCTCTGCCATGGAGACAGAGCGAAGAGGATGTTATCAAGAACAAAATCAAGTCTGGTGGTCTTACTCTCGGGTTCTACAATTGTGACGGAATGGTGAGTTATTACCTGTGCAGAAGGATTATTTGAGATGACTGACACGTATATGAAATTTCCAGGTGCTTCCTCACCCGCCAATCCTTCGCGGTATCGAGACAGTTGTGTCGACATTGAGGAAGAACGGCCACGACGTCGTCGAATGGACTCCTTACAATCATGAATTGGCGTTGAAAATCCTCTATTGTTTCTTTACCTCTGACGGCGGCGCCGACGTCCGTCGCGACATGGACGCCTCTGGCGAGCCCCCCGTCCCCAATATCAACGACCTGCTCGGCTACTCGAACAGGGCCTTCGACATCAACGAGCTGTGGGACGTCAACCTCCAGAAATGGCGCTACCAGTGCGAGTATCTCGACAAGTGGCGCGAGCTTGAAGAGAAGCTGGGAAAAGAGCTCGATGCTATCATCGCCCCGATAACCGCCACGGCCGCAATCCGCCACGACCAGTTCCGGTACTACGGATATTCAGCCGCGATCAACACGCTCGACTTTACGAGTGTAGTGGTGCCCGTCACGTTTGCCGATAAGACGGTCGATGTGAAGAAGGAAGACTACCAGCCTCTGAACGATATGGATAAAGCAGTCCAAGAAGAATGTAAGCATATATCACGTTATGTTTATAATTATGCCTGTGTTTGCAGCATAGCTATTCCGTTCTGTGATCTTGGCTAACACGACCCGACTTTTCAGACGACCCGGAGGCATACCACGGCGCTCCTGTTGCCATCCAGATCATCGGCCGGAGATTGAGCGAGGAGCGGACGCTGGCGATTGCGGAGGAAGTTGGACGACTGCTTGGGAATGCCATTACGCCATAAACTTTGAAATGAGATGTATGTCGAGCTATGAAATGGATGCTCCATCTTGTACAGCTGTGCGGAGCTCATATATCTGACGATGTTAGATCCATGATTCATTCATATACTACAGAATACTAGATGTGTACTGTACTCCGTATAACGTATTATTTTCCGGACTCTCGAACCTTTTCCAGTCCATCGTACTATATATCCCACTTAGGATATTATCTGACTAGAGGATAAACCACGGAAATCCATTCCCCGTAAGACCAAGGCATTATCTGGAACTGATGTAATCAGCCTCGCGCCTTATCTCGACATGGCCGAGCTAATTCCCTGGTCCGGCGGGGCAGTCGAATCAGACGGACCGAACAACTCACAGGCCGCAGGCCGATTGGCTGCGTCTGCCGGGCTGATGTATATAAAGCTTCGAGGATAATCCTTGCTGTCAATCCATGTTGAATTCTGAAATGAGTAGCTCTGTGCTTGTCAACTAAGTTAGAGGAGTATACGGTGCACTGGATTGCAATTGTGAGAACGGTAAGTTGTTTGGATGACTGTGGATCAATACATATCTTACCTCAAACATCTATAAACTTTGGAATAAACTAAACGATGTTTTCTCCTTGACTGATATTTATCGTTCAAGATTGCAGGTAGGAAGAAATATATCCATCTAGTCCCTTCTCCATCATCTTCGAAATGTCGACGACCATCACCGAGACCGTGAACCAGGTCGAGCAGCGGCCAACGCGAGTCGTGGCCGTGCAGGACCATGCAGGCGATGATGTGCCTCCTGCGGAAGAAGATGCCAAATTCCAGGCAATTGGGCGGGGGAACCGTAATGGGACCCTGAAATTGCGCGGCATTCCGACCTTCACAGACCCTTATGCGAAGAGGAAATGGATGAAGGAGCACATGGCGGCTGCGTTTCGATTCTTTGGGAAACGAGGTTACGGAGAGGGTGCCTCTGGCCATATCTCCATGAGGGGTACATATATTTCGTCAATTGTTTTTGAAACTGGTGGAGACTAACAGTGTGCGTCAGACCCCGTCCTGAAGGATCATTTCTGGATGAATCCGCTTGCCAGGCACTTCTCGACCATCAAGGCATCTGACCTAGTCCTCGTCGACAGCGCCGGCTATGTCACCGAGGGCGGAAACCAGGCCGTCATCAACGAGGCGGGCTTCATCATCCATTCGGAGATCCACAAGGCCCGACCGGATGTCGTTGCCGCTGCTCATACACATGGAGTTTATGGCAAGACATGGAGTGCGTTTGGCAAGCCCATTGAGATGATCTCTCAAGGTAAATATTTCCTGGCCGCAGCTCGTGACCCCAGCTCTGAGTGTTGATTGATACTGAAAACCTGCACTCATAGACGCATGCAATTTCTATGGAAAGCTGAGCGTATACGATAACCACGGTGGCGTGGCTCTTGCTAAAGAAGAGGGCGAAGCAATCGCCAGGGCTCTTGGGAAAGACAATATTGCCTGCATCTTGCAGAACCATGGGTATGTCGACATATAAGCGCATTCGCTGCATATGCTAACCACCGATGGGGGAAAATCCAGACTGTTGACCGTCGGCAAAACCGTTGACGAGGCTGCGTTCTTGTTCTACAGTCTGGACAAAGCCTGCCACTCGCAACTCATGGCCGAAGCGGCCGCAGCGAATGGAGTCCCCAAGAAGATCATCCCTGACCACGTTGCGAAATACACTGCGGATGCGGTTCAGAATCCGGTAGGTTCTATACAAATATGTAGCCTAGTATCGGATCTTGTGAACGATGGCTGATTTTAATTACTCGTCTAGCATAACTTCTATATGGAATTCCAGCCTGAATTCGAGCTGATTGTTGAGGAGACCGGGGGCAAGGTTCTTGAGTAGATGGGCGAGCAGTTGATAGAATGAGAGAGAGATATGACGATGATCCTTCATGATAGTCGTCTTTCATCTCAACAAACAAATTTTCAGGCATTACATAGCAGTCATAGCTATGCGCTTGGCCATGAATGGAATATCTTTAGTCTTCAATTTCCTGTTATAGATGTATGACACGATGACTAAGCACAATCAACACGTCACGTGTAGTTTTCTTCCATATTTGGACTAGCGTCGACCATCATGACCACTCTCTCGCCTTTGAATTGGATGAAATGAATTGACCACATGGACGCTGGACCGACCACGAACTTCCTATAGACATTGGATCCAATTCATCTGCTGCGTCCTGCTTATAGACGAGAATCTTCCTCGCCTATATTCGTTTCTTTATGAAGTAATAACTGTCTCCAAAAAGCCTCTAAACTGCGACATCGGACCTTGTTGCGAGGAAGTTCTACCTAAGTCGAGATATACTAGTATCCTACTGTCTTTGATATCTCCCATCGTCTATTCCTCCTGTTCATGTTGAGCTTTGGACATGACCTTACCCTCTCGGCCTAGTTCAGAGTGTCCTTGTTTTCAGCTGGAAAGGACGTTGCATTGATTCTTACGACGCCTTCCGCTTTCCATTTTGTTTGCTTTGCTTCTTCGTCCTGTCTGATACCCTTACGTTGAATTTCTCTTTTTTGCCCAGGCGGGTAGAAAAGTCCTTTGTTTTTATCTTTTTTTTCTCTTTTTCTTCACGCCAACATGACGGAAGGCGAGCCATCGTACATAGATTATGAAACATTTCTTGACCCGGACTTCTCTCCCGCCGCCTTTGCAAATGCTTTGGTGACCAGCACAAACAATGCCAACGATACCCCTCTCGATCTGGCAACTCCGTTGTCTCGCGTTCTGTTTGATCTCCAGGAGATAGATACTCATATCCACAATCTGACGACAAAGTCCGCGCTGCCGCTTCTGGCGCACACGCAGGATCAGGCGAGTGCTGCCCAACGGATCCTGAAGGAGGTCGAGGACCAGGTTGCTTCTCTCACGGATGGGTATCAACGGTTGGAGAGGGAAGTCCTGCGGAAATGGGAGAGTGCGGAGGAGGCGAGAGTAGCGTCCGAGAATTCGTGGGCGGCACTGCGCCTGGCTCGAGCTGTCGGACGCTGCATCACCTTGGGCAGACAGCTGGAGGGACAGCTGGCTGAAGTTACGGGGAGAGGGACAGGGAAGGAGGACCACAGGGCCATGGTGCGAGCGTCGAATACGCTCCTGATGCTACGGCAGATGTTTTCTGCTACGGGTGATGGGGAGGAAGGACAGGGTCTGGATCGTGTCAAGGTGATCCGGACGCTGAGGAGCGATCTCGTCATCCCTGCTGAGAACACGGTCAAGGCCAGGGCGCAGCAGGTGATCAACCGATTCTCCCTATCGTCCCTGTCGGCCGACGATGTTGGAGGAGGAACAACAGCAAGAGCCAACGGAGCTCGATCGCCGCCTCCAGCCTCGTCCACCTTTGCACAAACGGAAGAGACCAAAGCGAAGCTATCATCTGCCATCACCACGTTATATCTGCTTTCGCCCACTCCTAAGACGGCAATCACCGCGACACAATTCCAGCCTGAGCTCCTTCTCTCTACCCTGCAGGGATACATCCACAACTCCCTCACCTCATCGCTATCTTCCCTGTCGCGGGGGCTGGCAATGATGCCTAACTTGGACCGGGCCCTTGCTGAGGTCTCTGCGCGATGTCAGGATCTTGCTGCCCTCGAGGCGCTTCTCGCCACGTTCAAGACCCCCGTTCATCCCTGTCTAACATACGATAAGCAGGGAGCGGAACAGAAAAACGGCAATAATAATCCGGAAAACATTCTTCAGCTTCTCCTTCGAGCACTAGATACGTCTTCTCTTCCGTCCTACTTTTGGCGCTCTCTCGCCTCCTCCCTGCCATCTCGCGTCCAGGAGATCCTCACGCGGGGCGGGGCGTCGGCTCGGGCGCTTCGGTCAAATCGGGATCGCTTGCGGACGGATCTTCGAGAATGTGTGCTGCGAGGCTCGCAGCTGCCGTCGACCATCGGCAAGGGACGGTCTGGAGGCGAGCCAGTCTTGGTGGGCAACTGGGAACGGGAGGCGGCCGTCATGGTCAGTTCTGTAGTGGGGGTTTTGGGACGATAGATGACGATAGATGGACATCAATAGAAGCTGCTTTTGATATATTATATTGGGCTTCATATTTCCAGCCGCCTATGACTGGTTCCATGTGAGGGAGAGATCCTCTCTGCTTCATAGATGCACAACTAAGCCAGGCGAAGTCCAATGCAAACCAATTCCAACGAGGACCTCCTCTCTGTACAGTACACTCCGTACTCCGTACAAACTGTAGCAGATGTCCTGCAGAAGCTCCTGCACGGGCCCAGGGGTACCTGGCTGACCTGATTTCTTTGGTACCTGAATCAGCTAATACCGAACTCTCACGGAGGGAAGAACATCGATGCCCGCAGTCGTCGCCCCCGTCTAGTTAGGTAGGTATCTAACCTACCTAGATACCTAGAAGACTGAAGCTTCCAGATTGGTTTAATGCCTACCTAGGTAAGATTCAAAGATGTAATGGATAGATGAAAGTGGAGCAGGTTAGGTGGTAGGTAGGTAGGAGGTAGTACTCTGCTCTTTCCGCTTTAGGATATCCCCAATGCGGTCGGGTACCGTACGCACCCCTTCTCAGGAAGGAAAGAGCGGCTCTTAGTCAGGGACCGTTACATGCGTTGCACTTGCTTCTTGCATGCAGTTTATTATTTTGTCTAGACTCCAAATTTGCTCTTACAAATACGGTGTGCCAGAGAGGTCCCACCGACATTACAATAGGTATTCTCCAACGTCAGGACGGTCGATTGCATCGCCCTGATAGGCTGGGGCCCTCTCGCGAGCGCCGCAGGTTAGCAGGCAGAGATTGCTACGCGACTAATTAATTCCTAACGGCAGTTACGGCAGGCCACGCAGCATGGCTCTTGCTGTTGCACGCCGCGTGCTGACCTCCTTTCCCCCGCCACCGCGACGCAAGGATCTCGTCGGATCACCGCAGCACGGTCCACCACTCTCTAACGCGGTGAGGCACCAGGAGGCAGGCACCAGGAGCAGATGAGTCATCCACTCGTCCTTCCAGGCTGGAGGCTTGGGCTGCGGGGCATGCGACGGGGCAGCCATTGGCCGCGGGCTCGGGGGATACTGGAGTCGAGGACGTCAGGGTACGATCAGAATGCAGGGCGAGGGCGTGCAAGTGGAGCCGTGGGCGGCGGCTGCTATCTACGCCGGCGAATAAGGCTGCCGGCCGTCCACGGTTGGCGACCGCCCGCACCTGTCGATCCGGATCTAGCATCCCCCGTATCGATAAGCCCTTCTCGATCGATAAGTGTCCGGCGCAGGTACAGTGACCTGCTGCGCGTGGGCCATTGGACCTGTCACCCGACGTGCCCCGCGCCGCGCCCTTTGTACCTGCTACCTCCAGGTACCTTGCCTGCCTCGCAGCAGCAAAGCGCCCGCTCCCCACCCGCCGATCGAGTGATCGTGCCGCACGGAGAATTCTCCTCGATCGTCGGACCAATTGCTGGCGCTTCAAAAAACGGCACTTGCATACACCTGTACACAGGCGCATGGGATGCCCAACCCAGTCCTGTCCGTGGCTGACGGCACGCTGCGGAGTGCGTTTCTCGCCCGGCTTCTCTCGATGCGGAAGTCGCTTTCGTCCCCGCCTCGGGTCACGAGCCGCGCCACCCCGCCTGGCCGCCGTTGCGCCTTCCTCGAGACGTTGACATCAGCCCGGCCTTCCAGGGTCCTCCTGGCAGCGGCAGCCACGCACCAACCACCTCCTGCATCGCCAGCCGTGCTGTTGCTGCAGGAGGCAGATGGGTGATCTCGCTGACACTGCAGGCTGGCTACAACTCTCCGGCTGAGTCTTTCGAGGACTGGTTAGGCCGGCCGTATCCGAAACAGCGCCGGATGCTGCGAACGGTCGGCCTGAAAAAGGCACAACAGGCGATCCGATACCAACATCGGGAAAATTAAGTTTGCTTCTTCGTCAGAATCCCCTGGATTTTTATTTTTGTTCTCTGGACCCGTTTCTGCTTATCTATCGACCAAGGGTCCAGAACGATATCGAACAGTGAAAGGCTCCATCTTATCGGGGAAGCCAAAGTTTCTTGAATCCGTCCGCCTGCCGTTTGCAGTCATGACTTGGTTACCCCACAACCGCGAAGAGACTGGAAGGCCTACCACGATCAGTCCTATGATTCCTATCTCTCTGAAAAGAGATACGGAGGAGATCGGCAAGAGCCATCTTTCTGGTCGTTCGTCACTCGCCGTGATCCTCGAGATAGCGGGATGCTGCGCTTCGCGGCCAGAAGCGAGTGTGCTACGTCAGAGCTTCAATATCTGCGTTGTCCATTGCCGCGCCCGTCTCCAGCCCAATCATTCGGCCGATCTGCACACGCAGCACGTTTATCCGCCACCGTGATTGCGTGCTCCAGTCCATGCCTGCAGCACCCGCCATCCAGAACAAATATGCATCGTTTCATCATCGGTCATTATTGGGATGCAGCATGCCCCCACCGCCTCGACATGCCTAATCCAAACCTGCTGACCATCTTGTTTCACCCGTCTCCGCTCGTGAAGGTAGGTCCGATTTATATATACGATCTCTGGCCCCAACCTGCTCCGTCGTTATACAAGGATATCGATTTCCGGAGTAACTGGCCTGAAACTGCATGTTATCTACCAATCAAATTGACTGGCCCCATTGTTAGAATGGTAGACCCTTCGCAGGCCATGTCCTGGAGTTTCTGGAAGCAGAGCCATGCGATTGCTGCAGGACAAACTGTAATTCACGTCTTCTCTTGCTGGAGAATTTCGGTGGCTTTGGATCGGGGAGAAGGGGGCGATCTCGATGATTCATGATCGGGATCGCATCGGTTGCTGGACTCGCCACCAGGGCTGACATTCCCGGCGAGTCACTGCGTGGAAGCTCGCGGCACCGGAACCCTGGTGTCGTCAATGTTCCTGGCGCCTCCTCTGCACTGGGCAACCGCGAGCAGGGCGCATCCACGGTTCCGAGGCCAGGGTACGAGCTGAGTGAGGCAGAGAGGGCCCACGACCTGGTAACCAGGCTGGGCGTATCCATCCAGCGGCTACGCATGTCCCGCTCTGGGCTTAGTCGGCCCTGACAACCGCAAGGTACAGCCCGTAGAAGAGTCGTCTTGTGCCAGATACGAAGTAGCATTCTAGTAGATGTAGTTCCTAGTTCCTACGTTTGCGCGGTCCATGGATCCGTAGGCAAGGCTCTAGTACAGATTCTGGGCAGAGATAGCGAGACGAGCATCAGACGGTCCGGCTAAGTGATGGGAGAGAGTCATCATCGTCATCATCCGCCCTGGAGGAGAGGATCGCTCGCCGCCCCTTGCCTAGACTCGATATGGGCCCGGAGGCGGTTGCAGAGGAATGCTGGGTCTGCAACCATGGGGACGACAACTGGCCGCATGCCATGCGTGATTCGCCCGTTGCAGCAGCGCCCAGGTGGCCTCGCAGACAGGCAGAATAGGCAGTCTCCTGGCCAGGACGCTGCTAAACTCAGAATGGCTCGCTCCCTGCCCTGTCCTGGCTATAAGTTAGTGAGGGTGTTGACTGGCCCTGTTCCCCTCCCCCCTCCTGCCCCTCGCGTCGTCTGCGTGTTGTCGCCGCCGCCTCCGCCGACCGTCGTTTCCGATAAGCCTCCTCACTATCGTCGTCACTACTTCCCTGCCGTCATCCTCCAACTGCCCTCCGCCCGCTTGTGCCTCCTCGCTCTCATCCCTCTGTCCATCTCCATCGTTCCTGTCATCCGGTGCTCGCCTGCCATCCGATCCTCATCAGCCCCGTCCTCTGCCTTCGGTGCCTGTGCCCGTGCCGTCCTTTTTTCATCATCATCGCGGGCCTCCCGATCCCTCTTACTCGTGCGGCACCGTGGGACGCGCCTGAACCTCGTCGCCTCCGATCGATCGCTCCCCTGGCCGACCCGTCAGTTCCTGGGACTCTCGCCTGGCTTTGTTCGCCCGAACCCGCCTTTGGAAGAAATGTTCCGGCGCTGTTGATCATCCCGTGCCTTTCATCCTCTTACTTACATCCTGCCTCCTTCACCTCCCCCTCCCGACCTGTCCCATTATTGTCCCCGACACAACTACACTCGCAGCCCAGTGCTGTCGCCAGCCCGTCTGCCGTCTTCAGCCTCGACACCTATCCCGCTACCCCTGATCATCCTCGAGTCCGTCGTTTGCAGGCTTCCAGAATAATACTTTTTTTGGGGGGGGGGGATATTGAACCGCTCCCCATTTTCACATAGCTTTCTTAGGGACCTAGGGATATTCTTCAAGTTTTTTACAACCGGCTGGAACCGTGAATCTACGAAAGAGTACTACACACCCGTCCACGACTTCCCGTCTCTGTTTTCCTGTACCGTCGAAAGCACCTGGGAGCGTGAATCAGAGATACTAGTTAACACTTGAGATCGGGCTTTTTTTGGGACTGAGGAACATAGAAGTCGTGAGCGGAATCCTGTCCCAGAGTGCAGGAACCGCGTTATTGCCTGAGTGCCTTCTTGCCAGACTGAGTGGACATCCAGCGGGTCGGCTCGAAAAGTGGACCACTTTCAATTTCGCGATTTTTTTTTCTCGGCCTTTTGAGAGGCCCTTACCATCACCATGACTTCCTTCCTACCCGTGAATAGTGTCCCCGCCACAAAAGACCATGTCATGGACGAGCCAACGACGCCAACCACCCCTCGACCGAAACCTTCGACCGTAGCGTCTTCGCAGGACCAAGGCGAGGACGCGAAGACAAAACCAAGTGAGGACAGCTCGAAGGAAACACCGAAGCCGACTACTACTACTACATCGTCACAACAAAGTGCCCCCTCCACCGCGTCGACGGGAGACGAAACCACAGTCGCTGAATCGGAAGGGGACCGCGAACAATCGTCGGAGCAAGACCGTAATAACACCAGCAGTTCGGCTCCTCCATCAAAGAAAAAGAAGGGCCAGCGGTTCTTTTGTACCGATTTCCCACCGTGCACATTGAGTTTTACGAGGAGCGAACATCTCGCACGCCATATCCGCAAGCACACTGGAGAGCGCCCCTTTCAATGCCACTGTTCCCGTCGCTTCTCTCGTCTCGACAATCTCCGCCAACATGCCCAGACCGTCCATGTCAACGAGGAGATCCCCGGAGACTCTCTCGCCGCTACAGGGACGCGGTTTCAGCGTCAAATACGCACAGACAGGGTCCGTCCACAAGGCCGAGCAAGGGCTAGTACGGCTGGCAGCCAAGGGACGCATAGCCGGGGGCACAGTCGCAATCTCTCCACCTCGAGCGTCGCTTCTACGGCTTCCACCCTAAGTCAGCCCCCCGAGATCCGAAGTCGACCGCCGCCCTTGATCATGGCAAACGATGGAAGTGCTAGAGCTCACCTGACCTTGAACACTATGGCCGAGCCGCCCAGGACTCCTCCCCCTCAAATCCATCCGATAACTAGCCAGTCTCCGGGTGGGTACCCGCCGACAGCCGCATTCACTGCTGGAGGTGGAAGCCCGCATTACGGTTCTCCGATATCTGCTTCATCCCAACCAGGCTACTGGGATGGCAAGACTCATGCGCGCCGCTTGTCAGTTCCCACGGGGACAACCCCGTTCTCGTCGTCCCTTGGAACCTATCCCCCTCCGCACATGACATCCATGCCTCCGTCACACTCTCCCTTCACTCAAAACGGGAGTGTGTACGCTAGCCCGACCAGTTCGGGTTACGCATCATCTCGAGATGAGAGCAGTCTCAGTGCCTCGGAGGCCGAGTTACGGAGACGGACCTGGCATCCTTCGACTTATTACCCCAGACCGGCGACAAGTAGTCTGGTTAGCTTCGAAACTTCCAACACTCTCCGGCCCGCGGTTGGCTCGAACGGCTCGGCGGACCAGCCGACCAGGCTCCCCGGAATCGAAAGTTTCGACAAAATGCTTCAGGGGCGTCCTCTGACTCCTCCTCTACGCAAACCTAGCCCGATGCAGATTGATCCGACTCGGGCAGCTCCCACTACAAGTCAAGGCTTTACTCCCGGTTTCACGTCCCAGGCGCCTCCCGCCTCTCGCCCGCAACCACCTATCTCCGGACCTGGTCATCGCCGAGGTCAGCTGTCCTGGGACCTGCACAATACTCTCACTGGGCTTAGCCTTGGAGGCGGATCTCCGCGGAAGGATGCGTCGCCATGGGGTCAACAATCCCAGGGAGAATCCAACAGCATTGCTTCACGTCCCTTGGGTACGTATCCACCGTCGTCTAATCCACCACAGGGGGGTAGTGAGCCTGGCCGTGTTCCAGAGCCCACCGCGCCGCAAAATAACAAGCCATACGGTTGGCAGAGTGGCCCAACGGCGGGCAGTACCCCCGCCTCTCAGCCTCCACGGACATCTCCTGAGGACTCCAGCAGCAGTGAAGGGGTCGCGACGCCATCGACGTCTTCCATGGAGTATCATCCAGCTATTGTGCACAGCAACGGATATGTCGAACAACATCATCCGCTGCTTCCAGCAGATGCTCATCAGAATGTATGAGATTCACATTCCTCTTCCTGTTTACTTCTTTCTCTCCTTTTTGTTCTCAGCCATGTCGCACCTGATACTAACGTGAATTATTTGTAGGCTTGCGCGCCTCTTGCGTCTCAGCCTCCCGGGTATCCTCCCAACTCCGAACGTCCGAGCCTCTTTGGTGGCTCTTCTGTACCGGCAAACGGAATGGGTCGGCTGGAGGCTCTTGTCGCAGTGGCAACGAGTGAAAATAAGGGCGCGTCGAGGTACTATTGAGAGAGTGGGTTTCTGATCCTTAAGAAGCAGAGAGGGATCGCCAAGCGCAATCCTTCTCCTTCAATTGGAGTCAATATGCCCTCCGCTTCTGAATGGGACCAGCGTTATTCTATTCCCGCTCTACCTTGCTGCACCGAAATTGAGATTGTACGATATCATTCTCCACCTGGAGTCAGGGATTTCCAGATTTCGCCTTTCAATACCCCAGACGGTCCAGCATACAACCTTTTTTTTAATCGTTTTATTTTTTCTATTTTGTTTTCTCTTTTTTCGCATTGGTTTTTTTTTTGGTTTTTTTTTCCCTTCTACCTTTTTCGTTTTTATTTCCCTCCTCTCCTGTACTTTGGTGGCCATGATTTGTATCCACATTCGCTGTGTGGCCATTTTAACGACGCGATGAGTTATGAATGATGTATAAACAGGTGGTTGGGTCTGTGGTCTTTGTTTGATTGTCGGCATGTGTGCATTCTGCTTTGGCGCGTTGGTTCGGAATCGAGATACCCCCGGCCTTACTTTCGCTCCCATTTCTCTTCTGCGAGCTGTTCTCGGGGTGGACCTTTTCCCTTTTTCGGATGCACGATCTCGACTGCGAGATCTCCTCTCTCGTTGTCTCTTTTTATGCGTGTCTTTTAACCTGGACGCTTTGAGCTACGTCTCTAGGATGGCTTTGATACACGACTGGGGATTTGCTTTCTATTATGTCTTAGTAACTGGCAAGTGTTGCACGCTAGTTTTCGTATATTATCGTTCTTCTATCCTTATGTCCTCGACTTGATTTGCGATGCGTATGATTATTTGTTTATGGCTTCCTATTGCTTGTGCCAGAATAAATGGACCTATGAATAAATTGATGACCATCATGATGAGCAACTGAGAAATCTCCGCAGGACAGTGAATGAGGGGGCGGCTTTGTCGATATGTTTGTGCATAGATCGTCGTCTCAGACTGATTGACTGCGCATGACTCCCACCACTGGTCGGACAGATAAGTGGCTCTGTTGCAGATATTGATGATAAGGTGATTTCATTCCAATTTGCTTGCCATGTTACATGTCTTCTTCGATAGTACAATCCAGTTTCTTTCCTTAATGCTATGCTAGTGACATAATTGTCCTGTAGGTAACGTTGAATCAGTACAGTTAAGTGGCTTTCAAAGTCATACCAGGTAAGGTATCTAGGAGGTAGTACTCGTTAAGAGCTTCGCGGATTCGATACCTGTCGATGACTTCATCGGTACTTCATAACGGCTACCCCACACTGCACCTTGGCGCCGTCGAATCATATGCAGCGTTCTCCTGCCGTGGTCATGGAGGCGCGCTAATCTGAAGCCATTGATATTATTAAACGATGATGACCCTCTGGTGACGTACGTTGCATACGCCTCCAACGCCTCGCAGTACGTGCCATCGAGCTGGAATCACTGTATGAAGGTGTTCAGCATCAGTCTGAGAGATATTCATAGAGACCAAAATAGTACATACTATAATGTCCATACATGTACCTCGTCAGGGAGAAATACTTCCACCTTGGCTTAGATAGAGTAACGACATATGCCGTGCTATGTACAGTAGTCATTATAGTTGACTGGTATATTGATCCTCAACATTGACGTGATTCTCCAAATACGAATCTGGCTTAAAGATGTTATATTCTTAAGCCACAATCACAAGTAGTTAGGTCTATACGTACTGTACTGTACACACATTGGACGAATAGCCTGACCTGACCGACTGTCCCTTCTTTTCTTTCCCCTCACTGTCTAGACGTCTGTGCTCGCTTGCTTCCAGCGGGGGAGACACCACCTCTAACGTCATAGCCCTGTGATTTGATCCCCTTTAGCTTTAGCTTTGCCTGGCTTGTCCTGGCTTGTCCTGTGCCATCCATGTCATCCATCCCATTTTGCAATTAATTTAGGTAACAAAAAATCGATGCACATTTTTTCTCCTCGTTTAAATCACTGTCATCACCAGCAAGAGCACCACCACTGTTCCTCCTATCTAATCTATCCTTCTATCACCGTCGTCATGACCACCAAGGCGCGTACTCCGGTCTACCTCGGCCTTGCTGCCGCTGCTGCCGGCGGTTACTATCTCTACAATGCTGGCGGTGATCCGTCAAAGGCGAAGAATCAGGCAAAGAGCTAGTCTCTCTCACTCCTACATACCTACATACACCCGTTCCAGTTTTGTAGCACTGTCTTTATTCTGTCTCTGTCTACGATGAGTTTTTTTTTCCAGGCTAACGATAGAGTTCTTTATTATTTTACGGAATGAACAGGCGATGTCAGCAAAGCGAGGAGCAAGCTCCCCCGAGGCAAGCAGGCAGAGGAAGCAGGGGAGAGAGTGGGTGAGGAAGCGAATGCGCATATTGACGAAGTCGTCAGTCTTCCCTCCTTCTCCTTCCTTTCTTTCCTTTCTATTTTCCTGCCAATGGCTTTGCTTGGCTTATATCAGTAACTCTCTATCCTCCAGCTCGAAACAACCCGCGAAAAGGCAAAGAACTCCAATGGCAACGTCCGTGACTTCGCCAAGGAAGGCATCGACAAGATCGAACAGATCCGCCATGAGACAGCCCGCAATCTGGGAACGACCGTTGACAAGCTGGACCGGAAGGTCGAGGAGAAAGCGTCCGAGGCGAAGAAGGGGATTTCTAGCTGGTTTGGTGGTGGGGGGAAATGATTGCGAGATGATGCAGCAGCTGCTGCTGCTGTTGATGTGCATGTAATTAGGCAGACTTAGACTGCTGCCTTGATGAGGGTTTCTGCTGGTGCCTTATTAGTTCGTTATGTGATGAGCGCTGTTCGATGGAAGAAGAAGGAGATATGTTGGTCGCTGGCTGGCTGGCTCTCATGCTGTCACGGATAATGGGACTGGTCGATTAAGCAGGACGATTGGTACTAGGTATATTCCTCGTTATATTTCATGAAACGTCGGGAGTAATTAACTGTTTCTACCTTGGCCTATCATCCTTAACAATGATTGCATCGCGTGGAATTCTTGACCTGCTTGATGGCTCAAATAGGAGAACTCCGTCATCATGCTCATGGATCCTCACTTCCCTAGATGAATATCAAACCATTTTAATCAGTTATTAATAACAGTTTGCAGGGAGTAGGTATCAAGTATGTGATTTCCTCGTATTCCGGGGCCATGATGTGATTGATAATCATCGGGTTGGAGTTGTCCTAAATGCAACATTCCGATCCCAAGCTTGGGTGCATTGTGATTATTGCCATGGTGACTGTGAAATTCCCGACCGACCAACCATGGAGAAGAAATCATGAGCTTTGCTTTGCTTTCAATACGAACGATGAGATTATCAGAAATAAGAAATTTTTATTTTATTGCAGTCGTAAATAAAATTGGATTGAGTCATCACTGAGTCTTATTGTTACTATCTATCGTATCTGTTCTCTTGTACTCTATATAACCCTTTCTGGCTAGGACGCGTGCGCGATCAGACGCGTAGTGGGTCACGCGTCAGCCCAGCCACAAAGGGGGAAAAAACAACCCGAAAGAGGAAAAACGGCAACGACGGGACGTCGGACGTCAACCTCAAACGTACCTGACATACAAACAGGTGCACAGTGTCTGGGCAGTCCTTCTCACCTTCCCTCTATTGATCTTTCCTTGGGTAGTACTCTTTCATGTACTGTACCGTATAGTTTATCCAACGCAGACAGACAGACAGACGGGGAAAGCACCATGCCGCCCCGGCGCTCCTCGACGCGCTCCCAAGCCCGCCTTCCCCAGGGCCAAACGGGCATCCAGCGCTTTACGAGAGCGTCAAAGCCAGGTGCGACGCTTGCTGTGGAGGGGAAGGAAACTGCCACTACCGCTACTGCCACTGCCGCTACTGCTACTGCTGCTCCTTTCCTTCCCACGTCCCCGTCAAAGAAGCGGAAATTGAATGAGATTGGAAACGGCGAGAGCGAAGAAGGAGTTCGATCGGAGGCACAACGACAGCGACAGCAACAGCAACAGCTGGAAGACGCTGCCAATGCCACGCCTTCGAAAACCTTACGATTTAGCAGCCTCTCTGTGTCGACGCCGCGCAGTTCCCGCACCCGCCAGTCGTCAGAATCCCAAACGTCCAGTTTCGAGTCTTCAACGACTCCGTCGGGAAGGAGCTCACCACCTACATCTCCCTCGAGAGGCAGTAGTCCCTCTCCATCTGCACCGCTAGACGAGACCACCGTTCCCGAGCGCTCCCCGTCCCCGTGTCCGAGCCGTCCTGCCGCGTTTTATGATCTGTTGAGCCTCCATTCCTCCTTCCTCACGGCCATAGCACTGCATTTTGCCCACAATGGCGCCTCCACGCCGGCCGATCTCAGGGAATTGCTGCCGAGCATCGAGAGGATATGGAAGAAGCGCAAGGTCGTCACGAGGGACTTGCAGAGATTGATCCGGATATGGGACGACGATCCCGAGTCTTTGGGCTTTCGGTTTCGGATTGCCAACTACGGCCTGGGCAAGATATGTCTGGAGAGGGTTTCTCGGGATTCTACTAGTTCTCTTGGGGGAGGATGTACCGCTGGTCGGTTCGATGAGAACGAGCTCCAGGAGAGATTCACACAGAATCTGGACAGGATATGGAGGAGAATGGCCAACAACTCCAAGGAGAAGAAGGGTGATGAGACTGGTTTTGTCGAGAGGCTGGGAATCGCGCCGATTCACGATTCCTTGACGCCTTTCACCGCGCTGCGCAAGGGACAGCAGCGGCTGCAGGATTTGAAGGGGGGTGTTATCAAGATCAAAACGGCGAAAATGAAGGCCAAGGCCAACGATGCTGATGTCCAGCCACGGGAACCGACAACGGACCGCCGAAAGGGTCTTCTGGATCGCATCAAGAGCAAGGAGATGCTCCAGGCAAAACTGCCTCCTCCGCCGTCGAAAGAGGAGCTTCTGCGCCGGTCTGCTGCAGAACATGTGGAGGACGTTGCGAAGGTGTTGGCTCTGCTGCGGCCGACTGACTCCGTCCAGACCGGGGCCAGTAGTGCCGTAACGGCGGTGCAAAAGAAGCCATACCGGTTTGAGACCATTATCCAAAATGTCCGGGATTCGATGCGGAATCCCATTTCTGAAGAGGAGGTCGCCGTGTGCCTGGACATCCTGGCGGAGAAGGATATCGCAGGTGATTGGATAGAGATTGTTACGGTCAACCAGCTGAAGTCGGTCGTCTTGAAGTCCGGGCGGGTCGACGTCTCACCAAGAGAAATCGGGGCCAAGGTTGCCAAGATGAAAATCGGCTGGGAGGATCATACGACATAGAGATACTACGGAGTACGACGTCATGAACGCTCATTGCATGGGTCATTGGTTTGGATTTTTGGATGCAAAAAAGCATTTGGGTCTGCAATTGTTCCCCATCGTATATGTATATGTATTTATTATTATTATAACTAATTCTGTAGCATCTTGTATTCTGCATTCCACATTCAATTGAGTCTGTACAGTACAGTAAACGACCGATTTTCCATTGTCTTCGCCATGGATAGGTAAATTAGGTAACTTGAATGCATTAACGCGAGACGCGTAGTCACGTGATCGTGTCACCCAGGGATCGCGTCTCCCGTCCTTAACTCCGCCGCGGCGATTCTTATCTATCTGATGCACTGGGAATTCATCCCTTAAGTCCCTTTGCACAGAACCCGGCAAGATGTCTTCGCGACCGGAGTTAAAGGTGAGTATTCTATCGGCGTCTTTTAGTTAAAAGAAAAAAAGAGTTGGAAGTCTTATTAATTCCTGATGGTTCTCCAGGTCGACGACGAAGTCGGTTTCATTCGCTTCTTCCGGTCTCTCCCTGCCAAAGATGTTGGCAATGAGAGCAACCCGTCGACAGTCCGCGTCTTTGATCGCGGTGACTGGTACACCGCTCATGGGACCGATGCCGAGTTCATCGCCCGCACCGTCTACAAAACCACTTCGGTCCTCCGAATGCTGGGCCGCAGCGACACGGGCGGCTTGCCGTCCGTCACCATGAGCGTGACTGTTTTCCGGAATTTCCTCCGCGAGGCGCTGTTCCGCCTGAGCAAGCGTGTCGAGATCTGGGTGTCTAGCGGCACTGGCAAGGGTCAGTGGAAACTGGCGAAGCAGGCGAGTCCCGGCAATCTCCAGGATGTCGAGGAAGAATTGGGCGGTGCCTCCGGGACGGCGATGGACTCTGCGCCCATCATCCTCGCTGTCAAGGTCTCTGCCCGATCCACCGAGGCGAAGAACGTCGGTGTGTGTTTCGCTGATGCGAGTGTGCGGGAGCTTGGCGTGAGCGAGTTCCTCGATAATGATGTCTACTCCAACTTCGAATCCCTGGTCATCCAGCTCGGAGTGAAGGAGTGTGTGATCCAGGCGGACGGGTCCAAGAAGGATGTCGAGCTCGCCAAGCTGCGAGCGATTGCGGATACCTGTGGGATCGCAATCACCGAGAGGCCCGCGGCGGATTTTGGGACCAAGGATATCGAACGGGATTTGACAAGACTGTTGCGCAGTGAGCGATCCGCCGCCCTGTTACCGCAGACTGAACTGAAATTGGCTATGGGCGCGGCGGCCTCGTTGATCAAGTACCTGGGAGTCATGAATGATCCAACCAACTTCGGGCAGTACCAGCTTTATCAGCATGACCTCTCCCAGTATATGAAGCTGGATGCGTCTGCTCTGCGAGCACTCAATCTCATGCCTGGCCCCCGCGACGGGTCGAAGAACATGAGTTTGTATGGTCTTCTGAATCATTGCAAAACGCCCGTGGGAAGTCGACTCCTCGCTCAATGGTTGAAGCAGCCGCTCATGGATCTCGCGGAGATCGAGAAGCGACACCAGCTCGTGGAGGCGTTTGTCATGGATACAGAACTACGGCAGACCATGCAAGAAGAGCATCTACGAGCCATCCCTGATCTCTACCGTCTAGCGAAGCGATTTCAACGAAACATGGCCAACTTGGAGGACGTTGTCCGCGTCTACCAGGTGGCTATTCGCCTGCCGGGCTTCATCCGCAGCTTTGAGAATGTCATGGATGAGCAGTATCAGACCGTACTGGATGAACAGTACACGTCCAAACTTCGGCATCTGTCCGACTGCCTTGCCAAGCTCGAGGAGATGGTGGAAACTACTGTTGATCTAGAAGCCCTGGACAACCACGAGTTCATCATCAAGCCAGAGTTCGACGAGAGCCTCCAGGTCATCCGAAAAACTGGACAAGCTCCGGCACGATATGGACGTGGAGCATCGGCGTGTGGCGCGGGGATCTCAACCAGGAGATGGACAAGAAGCTCTTTCTCGAGAACCACCGCGTGCACGGATGGTGCTTCCGATTGACTCGTAATGAAGCTGGGTGTATCCGGAACAAGCGGGAATACATGGAGTGCTCCACGCAGAAGAACGGTGTCTACTTCACGACCTCGACTATGCAGGCACTACGGCGAGAGCACGATCAGCTCTCGGCTAACTACAACCGCACGCAAACGGGGCTTGTTAATGAAGTCGTCAATGTTGCCGCTTCTTACTGTCCCATCCTTGAGCAGTTGGCCGGCGTTCTGTCGCATCTCGACGTCATTGTCAGTTTCGCACATGTGTCCGTCCACGCTCCCACCGCGTACGTCCGCCCGAAGATGCATCCGCGCGGGACGGGAAATACCATACTCAAGGAAGCCCGGCATCCGTGCATGGAAATGCAGGACGACATCTCGTTCATCACGAATGATGTCTCGCTTGTGCGAGACGAGTCTTCCTTCCTCATCATCACTGGACCCAACATGGGTGGTAAATCCACCTACATTCGGCAGATTGGCGTCATTGCGCTCATGGCTCAGATCGGATGCTTTGTGCCCTGCACGGAGGCCGAGCTGACCATATTCGACTGCATCCTCGCTCGTGTGGGAGCCAGTGACTCCCAACTTAAGGGGGTGTCGACGTTCATGGCCGAGATGCTCGAGACGGCCAATATCCTCAAGTCTGCGACTTCTGAATCGCTGATCATCATTGACGAGTTGGGCCGTGGCACGAGCACCTACGACGGGTTTGGTCTCGCGTGGGCCATCTCGGAACATATCATCACGGAGATCCGATGCTTCGGTCTCTTCGCGACGCACTTCCACGAACTCACCGCGCTCGCAGACCGATACCCGAAATCGGTCAAGAACCTTCATGTGACTGCGTTCATTGGTGATGGCAGTGGGGAAGAAGGCAAGAAGAAGAAGAGAGAAGTCACACTTCTGTACCGCGTCGAGCCAGGTGTCTGCGACCAATCCTTTGGGATCCATGTGGCGGAACTGGTCCGCTTCCCTGAAAAGGTGGTCAACATGGCGCGGCAGAAGGCCGAGGAGCTGGAGGATTTCACGTCCGCAACATCTGAACAGCAGCAAGTGCAGTCGACGAGCCTGGACGGGTATACGCAAGAAGAAGTAGAGGAGGGGAGCGCGCTGCTAAAGTCGATGCTTCTCAAGTGGAAGGCTGAAATCGAGGGTCCTGGGAAGGAGAATCTGACTGCGGAGGAAAAACGCCAAATCATGCGAGATCTGGTCCGGGCGGATGAAAAATTACAGGCGAACAAGGTGTTTCAGGGTATCACGGCTTTGTAACGGCGGGTTTCTGTGTTTATTCCTTTTTTTTAAGATGTATTTGTTGATCGGGTATATCATATGTGTGTGTATTAATACATATCAGCTCGGTTCGGGAATAGTTGCCTACTTACTGCCCATGATGGTAGTAAGACAGTAAGATACCTTATGTAATTATAGATTAATGAGAAACAGACAAGACATTATTTATTTATTCTCTCCTTATTCTCTCGTCGCTTGTGTATTGAACACCACCAATCAGCTGCCCGGGTTGCTTAACTTTAAGCTCCTCGGGATCCGTCACGTGTCGAGAGAGACGGCCATAGCGACTGCTGCGATTGACACGGTCCAGACTCACTCAACCCCCAGCGAACCAGCCGGATCACGGTTAGTTAACTCCAGAAGAACACTTTCCCCTTGACCCTCTCTTTTTCTGTTCCTGTTCGGCGAAGTTTGATTGATTGCTTGCTTACCTACCTGCGCGGTCAATTCAGCTCTTCTCTGATTGATGTCATCCTTGACCTGATCGGAACGAACCACACCACCACCACCTCTCTCACGTCCTCCCTTTTTACCTCCCCGCAATTGATACTATTTACTGCGACTCCGAAAGTTCACGACGCACTGCATTCGAGGGATAGATAAACTGCGGCTCCGCTACAACCCCATACGAGCTATCCATCCATTTTTCGAGACTGTACCCTCGTTCCTCGACATGATTGCTCTGCCTCTGCCAACAATGCGCCAGCGATAGATTGCGCTTCGAAGGAGAGAAAGGGAAAAGGGAAAAAAAAAACTGAGCCGCCGCTGGGACAGAAACAGAAATAGAAGCTGGAACGGAATTTTTGCGGAGAATTGAGGATTGATTGATTCATGCATCCTTTTTCCATCCTCACTCTCGGGATCTTCGTAGCGGGCTACATCACCGCGAGGTGGGACTTGGTGACTCGTCTCTACGAATTGGCCATTTTCGCGTGGGATCACGGCGTTGTTGTACGTGTCTCGTCCAGCTGAGTTTCTTCATTTATTGGTTGGAGGGCTCTGTTGTTCTGATGTTTTTCTCTCTTTCGATACAGACCCGAACCGCGAAGGGATTCGTGCTTCTTTCCTTCTTCTTTTTCCTCTTGATTATCCCTCTCAATCACCTCGCGACGCGGGAGATTAATCTTGTAAGAGGTTCCCTTGCCTTTTCTTTTTTTTTTTTTGGCCTTCATTGGCAATGTGCTAATTTCTGGGAATTGCTGTTTCTAGCATCCTCGCGTCGTTCATCAAGGTATATCTGCACGAGAAGAGTTGCGGCGTCGCGGTTCCTTCTAAGCAGGGACGAGCTGGGTGTTACGGGACAACGGGAAGGATGACAATATGCTCATGAGTGATGGATTACTGCGTGTGTTTTGGCCGAATGATCTTCCCCGGTCGACAGCGCCCGGGGTGATCGTGGGATGGCGCAATTCGGAATTGGACTTGTTTGTCCTAAGCGTGCTGGAGGATGTTGATGTGGGTTTGCTGATACCAACATAATATTAGTTATTGTATGAGATGCTAATTCTATGACCAGCCTCGGAGTGTCGAAAATGCTCTGCGCGCCGGGATCTTATTCCGTAACAGCCCACACCCAATCTCCCAGATATTTTCACTCTGTGGGAGGTCGGCGATGCACGTGTTGGGCTCCACGAACCCTCCAGAACCGCCGACAACTTTCAATCCATCCCATCTCTCGGTGACTACAAGTCCGTCATGCAAGGTCCCGCGCATTTTCTGCCCGCCGGAGACGAATATCTCAGTCCAGATCATCATGTTCGACCGTCCGCATCCGACGAGAATGCAATATATGTCTCTCGAGCCAATTTCCTTGGCCTTGGCTGACAAACGATCCACGGAGGAGAGGGACGAAGCTACCGCCGATAGCATCGATGCAGAGGAGGAAATGGAAAAGGCTCGATCGCGAAAATTGGTTGAAAAGTTGAAATTCCACACGGTGGTCCGGCATGTGCCTTCGAACAAAGAACTCGCCCTTCCCGTGATTTTGAACCAGATCAACTGCGCCTTTGAGATGGGTAAACTCATCGAGAAGAATAGCAAATTGATTGGGACGCGTCCGAAGAGAAGCATGAGTGTTAGCGAACGCGTCGTCGAGTCTGCAACAACCCTCTGGGATTTCTTCGTTCTTGGTGTTGCCTACGTGTTCTGGCAATGGCTCTGGCCCGTCATCACGAGGTGTTTCGTGATCGGCCTCGTCTGCCACCGTGCAATTGCCGAAATCGTCCTGCGCATCCTCGAATGGCGAGCCCGTCCAGATGCCGCTGCGCTGAAAGATATCTCCGCGACGGCGCAGCAGGTAGATATTCGGCTACAGCAATTCTGCTACTGGCCTATTCAATATATGAAGCTACGACAGCGGAAAGACAACTGGGAGAGCATTACGACCAGCCACCCAGACTATATTCGATTCTACAACAGCTTGTGGCTGGTTGCGAACGATGTGATTATCGGGATCGCCCTGGGTTCATACATCATAGACAACGCCCACTGGGTTGCCTATCAGATCAACCATATTATCAGCGGCTGGACCGTACAAGGTTTGCAGCGCACCATCTCCTGGCTCATGGGTTGGCCGGCAGGGTTGAAGCTCAACAATGAGCTGGCAGCCTTTCTGGGCGACCTGTTTCTGTGGGTCATTGAGCATTGGGCAGGTGAGAAGCTGTTCTTCTTTAAGTTAAATATGGAATTTATCTCTGACATTGCTGGTTAAGGCTGCATTGCGAATCTACAACCCTACCTTCCCCACTTAATATACGTAATTGGATGCTCCAGTTTTGCTGGCGCCAGCATGCCTATTGCTCTCTTCTCCGACCTACTTTCCATCGTCACCATCCATATCTATTCCTTTTACATCGCTTCCGCGCGCATCTTTAATTGGCAGCTCAGCATAATCATATCTTTGTTTCACCTGTTCCGAGGGAAGAAACGAAACGTTCTGCGCAACCGGATCGATTCGTGCGACTACGATCTAGACCAGTTGCTTCTGGGGACCATCCTGTTCACGGTGCTGTTCTTTCTGCTACCGACAGTCATTGTGTTCTATATCGCGTTCGCCTCGGCGCGGATGTTGATCATTTCTTTGAAAGCGATCCTCGACACGTGTTTAGCGTTCTTGAATCATTTCCCACTCTTTGCATTAATGTTGCGCGTTAAAGATTCGAGACGGTTACCAGGTATGTGACGATTCAAATCGCCCCTAGACTATGGGCTTTTTCTCATTGCAAGTTTTAGGTGGTATTCATTTCGAACTGCGGGAAGAATACGATAAGTCGGCACCGTCGAATGACAAGGTGATATCATATATTTATCTTGACGTAAGTCGTTTCGCCTCAATATGCATAAGCTTTGTTCCCCTTCTGACAGATTTGATACAGTCGATTCCCCTCCCGCTCCGAGCCATGTTCGACCAATACTTCCAACTTGCTCACCGTCTCCGGAAACACTATCTCTCGCCCAGTGTCATCCTGTGCCTGGTCACCGGCCGCTTCGTGCCCCCGATCCACCGCCGCAACCTGTACAGCATGCAGTACAGCATGTTGCCAGCCCGCCGGGCCGGGATGATGGAAGTCTGGACCCAGCTGACGGAGAAAAGGAGCAGCGGAGGAAGTAGTGGCGCGAACTCGGTCCTCGTCGGCAACGGCGGGGTCATGATGGGGAATGGAGGGATCAAGGTCCCTAGCGGGTTTGGAACCGGAGGCAGCCGGCGAAGATAAGATGGGCATGCATGCATGTGTATATATAATCTATATCAATACTGATTTAATGAAGGCAATAGATTAATTGTTTAATGGAGCAAAATGCGCAATGAAAATGATTCTCTAGAGCGGATAGCAATTCAAGTGATGTGAATGTTCAATTAGTCTTTCTTTACACGATCTATTAGCCTCGCAAGAGTTGTGAATAAAGATGTCTTTATTATTGAGTGATTTCAAATCCGCGACAATCTCCGTGGCGGATTTATAGTGCCCACGCCAGCATTTGGCGATGATGCTTGCAGGTAACAGGCTTGTCAGGTCTTCTTGAAATTCCTGATTCCGAAAGAGCCCATCAACGACATTATCCGGTATCTCCTGATAATGGTTTCCTCGTTGTCCATATTTCGTAGATTGTACTTCCTAGAGCAAACAGCTCATCATCAAGACTGATTTTGTCATCGTCCACATCTCTTTCACCTGGAGGCCGTTGAAACCCTTTGCCACAGCCCACGTAAGAATCACTGCCGTCGATCGACGAGCCCGCAAAGTCGCACAGCTTCACGTTGTCGTCATGATCCAGGAGGAGGTTGTGGCAGCCAATATCGCCCTGGAGCACGTTTCTCATGTGGATGTAAGCAAGCCCCTCGGCTGCCTGGATCGACCATCTCAGGGCAAGATGGGACAACGGTCGCTCGCCGCGTTGCTGCAAGTCGAGGAGCCGTTTCCGGAGACACTCCTTCAGCCTCTCTAGCACGAGTCCCCGCTGCACCGGATAGTAGAACCGGCATATTCGAGGGTGCTGTCTTCCAAGACGCTCGTATATCTTCCGCTCAATCAACAGGTCTTGAAGGCTCTGTCTATCTGTGTAGTCGTCGCCTGTTACCAGGGCTTTCTTGACGACGGTGTGGTCGTCGATGGCGAAAACATGGCCCGATACTCCTGCTCCTAGCAGTTCCAACGACGATGATGATGAGACAGGCAGTTTAGGAAGGGAAGAGACATCATCCATCCTCTTCCATGCCGAATGCCCTACAAGCATTGGCTGTCTGTCAGGTTTGGAAACACAGATACCGGACAGACGGGGCTGAAAGAGTAAAAAGTCCGTTAATAGAGATTCTCGGCCAGAATCTGAGCATAATATCTCAACCTTTGTGCTAGGTAGGAGCCAGTAGTCTCTCTTAGGAGTAAACACTATGGTGATTTACCCCAGACTAATTTAGTTTCGTAGCCAGAAATGAATTATGTGATCCATGCAGGTTCTTGCCCATGAACCACTCTATCCGTATTTTAATTTCATTACTGCCATAGTACTTCTCTCAAACTCATCATTTTGTCTACAGTGTACACCATCTGCCATACACATACATCGGGTATCAATCACTATAACTACTACTACACTGTGCCAATGCCATGTATAATACCCCATAGAGGAAAGAAAAACGCCATGGAAAGAAAACGCCATCACCATGCACATAACTACTTTGTGAACGTAAAATTCTTCCCTCCAGTGTCTTTCTTCGCCTTGCGCACCCCCGTCGGTGCGTCGAGCGCCTTGGCGTACGGGTTAAATGGTTGCTTGGACTTGTTCATAGGCAGTCCACCCGTGGCCGATTCGGCTGGCGCGTGTAGTACAGACGGCGCTTTGCTATAGTCAAACGGTGTCGAATCCTGATTCTCCTGCTTTGATGATGATGATGATGATGATGGCTTCTTGGCGACAGCCTCCCGGCGTGACTTCTTCGAAGGCTTCTTCTCCTCCAAAGAATCCGCATCCGACGACTCGTCGCTTTCTTCTGACGAGCTGTCCTCTTTGTCTTCTTCGTTCGTCTTGCTGATCTTCCTCTTGCGCCTGCCGGCAATCTCCTTGACAGTAAAGATCTCGTTGCTCTTCTCTTCTGCAGGCGTTGGAGCTGCCGGGGCTGGCTGTGGAGTGGCCGCTGGTGCATTGCCTAGCTTCTCGCGGGCCTCGGAGACCGTCATCGGCATGGGCGGTAGAGGAAGGGAAAGGCGCAGAGCTTCTGCAGAAGCGGCCACGGAATATTCCACTGGAACAGCTGCAGTTTCGTGCGGCTTCAGGGCGTTGCCCCAGAACTGCGAAATTTCAGCTCGTCCAGCCGAAACCAAGGCCTCCTTTTCTTCGGCAGGGGTAGGCAGGCCTTGATCGATTGCCGAAGCGACCTTCTGAGCTGCTGGCGTTGTAGCAACTGCAGTCTTTGTCGGCTTGGCCACATCGCGCCACTCAGGACCATTCGCCCCTGCGATCTTGGCGGCCTTGATGACCTCTAGGAGATGATCTACCCTGTCCCTGACGATCGTCGTCACAGGACTGATCGTCCTGAAAAGCGTCGCCTTGTCCAGTGGCATCGTCTGGGCAATCTTAAACAGCACATGCCTGGGGAAGACACATTGTACGCCTTCGTCTTCTTCCCGAGCTACCTCATCACGCCACTGGTGCACAGCCTTGAACACCGCAAACTGCTCTTTGCTGAGGGGTACGGAACTTTTGGTTAGACAGTCATACCAGCCTCCTGGTCCCTGGCCTGTCGCTGCATCGTATACTGGCCGTTCATATCTCTGGAGGGCCTCATTCTTAGACTGCTCAAGCACGTAGTCCACAAGGTTGCTCTCGGGCGTGGAACGTTCAAGGAGCTGGTTCCGTAAGTGGTCGTAAATGTAGAGAAGGTAGTGGGTGTCTGATCGGGCATAATTGAACATCTCCTCCGGCAGCGGACGAATTCTCCAATCCGCCATCTGATACCTCTTGTCGGCTTGGAAATTAACAAACTTGTGGAGAAGGAATTTGAGACTCCTTTTCGGATATCCGAGAGCGACAGCGGCGTGATAGGTGTCAAACATGCCCACCACGTAGAGACCCAGGTCGCGTTGCAACCAGATGATGTCCATGGACGAGCCATGGAGCACTTTTAGAATATTCGGGTCTGCAAAAACTTCATTCAACTGCTGCAGTTCCTCTCTCCATGGCTTGAGCGTGTCAACTATCCAGTCCTTGTCTCGCGTGCTGATCTGCATGAGCGACACCAGGCCGTGGTACGAATGGACGTCATGATGCTCCAGATCGATGGCTATCTCTTTCGACGACTTGAGTTCAGCAAGCATCTCGGAAACACCTTCGAGGGTGTCAACCCACGTGGCCTTCGTCGACTCGAACGGACAATAGTCAATCGGAGGCGAAGCAACATATGTGGAGGAGGGGTACTTTGCAGCTCGAATCTCCGCTTCATACGGGTTCGGATAGCTATATATCGAGAGCATTTTGTCAGAATACGCAAGAGACAAGCCATGACTGATTTTGGATTCACGTACAATGCAGGTTGTGAGTCCGACTCTACTAGTTTTAGAGACTCCTCCAAGGGTACAATCGCATGCGGCTTTGTCTTAAGAAGCGGGCGAAACGGCGAGACATCTGAGTTATCAGGAGCGCGCTCAAATTGCAACTGAGGTTTCGGGATCTTGGAAGCTCCGTAGTTATAGACGCTGGGGAATTTGGATGGCGTAGCCTTGCCTCCGACCGACTGACTCTGCGCTTGTTGGGAAGGACTCAGTCTCTTGATAATTCCCGTAAACTCATCCAAGCAGGCGTCGGCCTTTTCCAGAAGACTGTCAATAACATCCACCACACCACCCCAATTGTCCTCAACAGAGTCTTCGTCTCGCAAAGCCGGAGGCTTTACATCGGTACCGGCGGTCGCGATCTTTAACAGCGACGAGGTTAGAGACAGAAGACGGTCGCTTTGTTCGTCGAGAGATTCAGCGAATTCGCTGCTAGATGAACGGTGGAAATTGACATCTTCTGAACAGAGCTGTCCAACAGTGCGCGTGGTCTGGACGAGCTTTGAGGTGACCTGCTCGTGGAACGAGGAAAATTCTGCCGCAATGTCCATTGCGACAGAGTGTAAATGGCAACCTTAACTCTGGCCCAAGATCAGGATCAAAAATGAAATAAAGGTTCGAGGATGCTGAGGCGCAGAGCCCACTCGGCAGACATGGACAGTCTGCTGAAGTGGCGAGCTTTCGTTTGATCACAAAGACGGCCACAAAGATTGATGGATTATCGAAAACTGATAAATTGAGGCGGCGCAAACTGCCCTATCGGACAAAGGTGAGCCCGGCGGTGAGGTCGATCTTTGTTCTAACGCAAAGCGGTTAGCGCCACCATTAGCCTGTCCGTCCGCCTGCAGCTGGTGCATTAACCTCTACTCCCTAGGTTTTATATTTGAATTTATATTCACGTAGACCAGTAAAAAGTGTTTCAATTCTTAAACGAGCAGTGCATACCCTTCAGGATATAATAAGGCCTTGCCTGCCTTTCCTCTAAGGCTTCAGCTTTTGCATCATGGCAGCGTCTCTTGCCCCAGAGTGCAACAACCTCAAAGAGTATTTTGATACATCCCTTCATATTGTCCATATAATGTGGTCTGACTTTTCTTTCAGGAAATATGATACTTGTTTCCTCAAGTGGTACAGCGAGAGTATGTCATCCATTTCTTGTGAGTGCAAGAGACCTAGTCTAATTGTGAACAGAGTACCTGCGTGGCAACACTGAGGATGAATGTGCAGATCTTTTCAAGGAGTACAAGAAATGCCTGAATGTAGGGTCCTGCTGCTCTTCTTGCCTGAAATATCTCACTAACTATTTGTGCAGAAAGCCCTCGAGGAACGGGGTATCGACAAGATGCTCGAGGAAGCGAGGAAAGACAGTAAGGAGAGCGATGCTGAGTACCTAAAAAGGTGATGGCATGTGTTTCCTCTCCTCTTATCGAATTCTGTTGATGTTGTGCCATATGACGACGCATGTCGGTCTGTCGAAACATGGAAGATTCTCCGCTCTGAAGTCTTAGACAGGAGTTAATAACTGACCAAGTCCTCTCCTACTGAATAAAAAGAACGAAAGAGAAAAGAGAAGAGAAGGAAAACAATCCCAGAACTGAAATGGAGCTCCTTACCTCGATGGACGGCTAGAATAGTCTGTCTTCTTTGGGGATTTTCGACAGAATCATGATTATCTGCAGGACGATATCGAGATCTTTATCAGAATGGACGGGAAGTCTGCCATTGTGTCGGAAATTGTCGACAGCCATGGCTCTCGGGCTGTCCTTCAGGCCCTTGTTCCAGCGAGATTCGATGTCCTTGCTGACCGTCTTTGTATGGAATTTCGCTACGAATAGTTCCGTTATCCTGCGCCAATCAAACTTTGTACCAAGTCTTAGGGCAATGATAAACGCTTCATTCTCCTCTGTCCACGTTCCGTGGGTCATTGTTATTCAGATCGTGGGATCTTTGCACGTTAATAAACGGAAGAACGAATGAATGAAGAGAATTGACAGCAAGCAAGCACAGTGAGGCTATAGAGATTGTCAACGAACAAGCTGTGTGAAAGTCCTAGTTGAGAGTAGATCTTGGTTGCGTGCACGCATAGAGAAAGGAAAGATACAGACAGTCAATGGGGGATGGGATCCTTTATATACCTTAAACTGAAACTGCCGCTATGGTCTCTGTGCTCGACAGCGTTCATGAGCATGACTCTCCAATCAGACGGTATCCTGCCAATAGGGCATGTCGCTGGGACAAATCGTCATTTTTGGACTCTGTGTCTCCAACATTTCAAATGTGGCTACGATTACCCTGTTCCTCTTTTCCCGTCCTGTGGTTGAGGATTCTATGGCCAACTACGTGAACAAGAATGGTATTGCTGGAGATAAGGATAAAGCCCAAATCAAGTGTCATTGAATTACAGACACAAGCTTCATTTCAGCTGTGTAGGCTCTATATAGTTCTAGTCTCCCTCCCTCTGTATACTTTTCTAACTCCTCGCATAACTGAAAAACTCTTTTAACCGAGAAAAGAAATATCATCTAGATCCAGTAAATAATAATGCAAGTTGAATTTAAGGATGACACCTAGTGAAGCGACAGCTTCCTAGATCCTTATCCAGGATGTCAACCGTAATAATCGACCTATTTTCTTCCCCCATCTAATATTAGTCTTGATATTCTCTAATCATTCCTTGTCTTTTGTTCCTGTTAACTAGAAGTCCTAGCACATGTATCTAGTCAAAATTCATCGTCTGGCCGTTTATAGTCGACAATAAATATAAAGCCAGCCCAAAAAAAGAGATCATCAGTATTGATGGTCAATTTTAAATAGTACTAGCCGAACTGCCGAAGATAAACCGGCAGCGCTAATAAATACTAGTAGACTGCCCAGTGCCGTCGGTAATCATCATATTTCCCCCGCAAGAATTATTACCTCTTAAGGTAGATATTTTTATGTTCTAAACAAAATTTGACTAGGAAAATAATAATAAAACAGAAAATTTGCAATAAAACGATTAAGCTATTCTTCTTTTTTTCTTCCAAAAACGGAATTGTCCTTCTATTTATCGTGCTGACCATGTCTGCTCCCCCAAACCGAGGCAATATCGTAGAGATTCCTCTCTCTGGAGAGTTTTCAACTTCAAGTTCTCATTATCATTCTGCTGCTGTTGTTAATGATAGCAATACTCGCGATGATACGAGTCACAGTCATCGGCTTCAGGAGGATGTTCGGGAGTCATCCGTTGACAGGGGTAGAGCTGACAGGCAAGGATTGCCTTGTTTTTTCACTTTCCATTGAAACTATGACCTCTGACGCTCTTCCAGGAGATCAATCTTGGTCGTCCTAGCCGCATTTGTTATCATGTTCACCAGCTGCGGTATCAATTTCGCGTTTGGTGTCTATCAAGAGCTCTACGAGACCATGTCCAGGTCCAGCTCTTCGAATCCCTTCACCGGAGCCACTCCGGCTCAGATCGATCTGATTGGGACGCTGGCCATTTCCCTGATGACGCTTGGTGCCCCTTTCGCGTCTGCTTGGTGTAAATCCTACTCGCCGCGGACAATCACCTTCGCTGGCGGCGTCATGTTTGCTCTTTCCAACGTCCTCGCCTCGTTCGGCCAGAAGCTCTGGCATTTCATCCTCACCCAAGGGATCCTGCTCGGCTGTGGAGTTTGCCTGACTTATATTCCCGCCATGACTGTCGCGCCAGGGTGGTTCACGACGCACCGCGGTCTGGCGATTGGCATTGTTTCCTCGGGCACTGGCGTGGGAGGAGTTGCATGGGCTCCTTTGTTGCGATACCTAAACAACCACATGGGTTTTCGAGACACGCTTCGTCTCACCGGAGCGATTTCGTTCATCCTGCTCGGTGCCTCTGCCACGGCTCTCACGTGGGCGCCAGAGTTTGAACGGCGTGACCGCGTTGAGACGCAAACTTCTCGAACTCGCTTTCTGGTTCCACTGGTCGACTGGCGAGTTGCGCGGTCTCGCAAGTTTATAGCACAATGCATCTCGGCAGCATTGCAATCGTCCGCATACTACGCCCCTGTATTCTTTTTCTCCGCCTACGCGCGTAGTCTGGGATACTCCGCCGCCGCCGGTGCGACCTTCATCGCTGTGTCGAATGGCGCGTCTGCTGTCGGTAAGATCATCATCGGCCATATGGCGGATCGTCTGGGTCGGCTCAATACTCTCCTCTTCACGACGTTCGTCAGTGCCATCACTTCCCTCGGCTTGTGGCTTCCGTCGACTCTCTCTGGCGGTGATAGGGACGGAAAGAGCCTTTTTGCTGCGTTCGCCATCCTATATGGCATCTTTGCCGGGGCTTATATCAGCCTGTTCCCAACAGCGCTGGTAGAACTCTTCGGAGTGCAACATTTTGCCAGCGTCAATGGGTTCTTGTACATGGCCAGGGGGTTTGCGGCGCTCGTCGGCACTCCTGTTGCGGGAGTTCTCATCAGGGGAAGTGGAGGAGGCGTTGATGGTCTGTGGGCAGCAAAAGCCTACCAGAAAACGAGCATTCTCATCGGAGCGCTTCTTGCTGCTGCCACGGTTGGCGTGGCATGGATGAGAATTGAAGCTGCTATCAGCGGGAGCAATCGACTAAGATGGAAGGCTTAATGGTGGCCAAGACGAAGATCAACAGGAAATTAAATTCCAACGATGACCCCTTCAACGGTGCTGATAGTTCTTGACGGGGTCTAGTAATCGCGTCTGAAAATAATACGTACCCTCTAGGATTTTGCGATTGTCTATTCTCGGTTTCGGTGAAGGCTAGGTCAGGAAATCCCAACTCATAAACCAATATAGGACCTCTCCTAATTTCCCACAGTCGCTTAAAAAAAAACCCCACCTAGAATATACGCTACGGTGACCCGGAATTCGAAACAAGGATTGATCCCAACGGATTCCCATCTTCCTGAAAGAGGCAGGGATGGGTTGAAGCTTGAGTGGGCTTCATTAATACTCCAATGCTCAAGGAAATATCTCGTAGGAGAAATCTCCTGGGCGAAAAAGACTGTTGTGGTAAAGATGGTGGAATCAGTGCGTATTACAACCACCGCTGTTGATTATATATAATGCGTGGTACTACTTAAGCTTTCCCATGAATTAGTCAGATATCTATTAATAGTCATTTTGGCCATGCTGAATTCATGTCAAGGTCAGCGTAACACAATTCCCTCCAGGTCCGGCAGACTAAGACGGGTTCATAAACGTGCCTGCCAGGAGTCGGGTTGTAGACGGGACAGCTTCCCGATTTCCTGATTGGGGTTCTCTTGGCATTTCCCACCTGCAATCTACGGAGTAAAATCCCTTACCATAGCGGGTAGTAGATAAACCACGTG